AGCCATTAGACGGACCAGTGGACAATCCAATCCCCACAAAACCCCCTTTACACCCATTTCCAATGCATGTCGCCCTGACATTTCGCATGTCGTTGATGTTACACTGAGAAAAAATAAAAGAGCTGCTAATATTTTAAAGCAAAAGAGTTATTTTTTAGCTGAGAATTTTAAGAATCATAAATTTCAGTGGTTTCACATTAAAATAATCTAAAGATTTTAACTTAAAATCAAAAAATTATTAAATAAGTTTTAAAAGTTACACTTCGCTTGTTCAGATATATTCTTACACACTTTGAGACATCTTTATAACAAATATTAAATCCCTTTAGATTTCAAGGACTCTGTTATTATATGGTAAAATCATATGGTAGGCACTCTATATTAAAATATTAAATATAAAATCAAGATAAACATATTCAAGTAGAACGCATTTTTTCTCCATATACATGTTACTGTCCGTGGAGATTTGCATTGGTTATTAGCTCAGCTGCTCTTCGGGACCTTCTGTCTGCGTGTGTGTTCCTGTGTGTGTGGCTCGATGTGCGTTGTCTGCGGTTTCGATTTTGTTGACAATTTGTAGCGTAATTAATTGAACCAAAATTAATAAAAACAACAACAAGCCGACGTGGTAGACAGACGATGACGACACCAGAGCTTTTGTTGTTTGCTGTGGTTATTGTTGTGTTTGATGCCGGGGAGGGGGGCGAGATTACAATTGGCAGCGACGAGTGATACATAATGTTAAATGACTTAAATGCTTGAATGACGGGGGCCAAGCGAAAATACAAAATCACGTTACTCGGAGCAGCAGCAGCACCACCACCATCGCTCACGATTAGCCACGATCTTTGGTGGCTGCCATTTGGCTCTGGCTGTGGTTCGGTGGGTTCATATTGCTTTGACTTTTCTGCAGTTTCACTTTTCGCCTCCTTGTGATTTGTTAAGCTTTGTCAATGCCCGGACATATCCATTATTCTTCACACACGATTAGTTTTCGATGCTCAGATGCTAGCTGTAGTGGCGAACGCTTTTCATGGCTAATAAGCGTTGATTGATATGAACAGGCCAAACTATTATACCGAAAGTGATCCATGTTTATGTCAATGGGTATTTAAATCAATGTTGGATTTGCATATAACAGATGTTGATCAAGCTTTACTATTTTCCCATACAATAAGCTAAATTAACACAAAGCACAAGACAACCATTTTAATTAAAATAAAACAAATAAAAGCGTTTAATACAATTTTTGATTTGAACAACATATGTAGGATGAATACCAAGTAATAAATTAAAATTTTCTTTTAATGTTCTTTACTTTGCACTTTTCTATTTTTCTATTACCTTTATGCTTTGTTATCTGTTATCAATTATGTAATAATCGCGTTTAAATATAAGTCGAAAGTTAAACAAAGTTATTTCACTGGTAAATTGAGCAACTAATTCAATTCATATGCCTAACATACTTTTGTTTAACATTACTAATTTAATGATGTATGATAATTTTTGTGTATTAATTGGCTATTGTCAACCCCCTGTTACGTTTACAAAGCATCTACACTATGCCATTCATAAACTTACCAACTGATTCAAATGCCTCGCACCCACGCGGCCCTCACTTATGCAAATTAGAAATATCAAAGTGCTTACAAAAATTAATTAAGCACAAAAAATGAGATGGATAAAAAGCGACAACGAGCTGAGAAACAACAACTTAATCGTTTGGCATTTCCGCTCGTCCAATTCCACTCGAAATAGCCAGCTTCCACTTCCCAAAAGTCAAAAAGAAATACAGCAAACTAAAGAGAACTTGTGCAGGTGGTTATGACCATGAGGGAGCGTGGGCCGGGCCAAGTCGAGTGTATTTCCGCTTGAAAGCGGCAATAACGATATTTGTAATAATAAATTTACGTAAAATATAAAACAAAATCAACGTTGACTCAAGCCCCAGTCGCCGCCCACTCAGCGACACCAACGCATTGTATGGCTGCAGACTAAGTTACCAACCGACAGGGCAGGGAGAAAAAACAAAAACCAGCCAGAAACACGGCTCAGAAGCTTTTGGCCCGAAGCCTCACGATGCTCACAATTAGCCAGCTGAGAGAGTTTTTTCAGCTTTCTCACCGCTTTCCCATGCGGCACCCATAAATGGTCGCAGACACGTCTCACAGACTTCCTAAGCGGGATCTCCGGCAATCCAAGTCGGCGAAGAGGGGATATGGTCCCCGGATCGGACTTCGCTGGCATCGAGCTTAGTGACCATATTAAGGCAAATACGATTTCCGAAGCTGGCAATTAAAAGCCAAAGCCAAAGTGGAAACTTAGAACATTTGCATAAGCAATTAAACAACATGGCAGGTGATCGAAGGGGCTTTTTCTCACTCAAAATAACAATAAGGCATTTTCCAACAACATCAAAAAACTTTTTAAAAACACTTTAATAAATTTATTATACCAAATCTAAATATATAATTTTGTATCAAAACTATACCATTAAAAATACTGTAATTAAATACTTATTTTAAAGTTATTGCAGTTTACATAGAACATTTAACTTGTTTTGATTTAGATTCAAATTTAAAACTTAGGTAGAGGCAGCTAAATTAAATCTGACATCCATATATGACGTTAATTCTAGATATTAGCGAAGATTTTATTAAGATAGGTGGACATAAAAAGACCATTACATTTTTAGCAACTATTTGGTTTCAAGAATTGTTTGGAAAAAGTTAAATCATTTTTATTGTTATTACTAAATTGAGTTTTATATTACGTTATGTTCAACCCCTTTCGGCCATGTCCATGTATTTTCGGATACAACCATAGCTGGTCACAAAGCAAACATTCAAAAGTGACGTTTGTTTTTTAATTATGGCTCGCTTATTCATGTTCTTGGCTCGGGAGCCGCTGTCCAGTAGATTAAGCTGTCAACCAAAATACACATGACACTCTTGGCCAATTTGTATGTATTTTTGAATATGCTCAGCTACTCAAATATATTCGCACATATATACTTTTTAACTCACTTCGCACGCAAATCAAATTAATGTTGCATGCGTTACTTTTTCACTCTCTTAAAACGCGTGACGACCTTGTGCCGTGTAAAATGTATGCTTTTTGGACGAAAAATTATAATCAAATTTTACTGTTGTCATCATGATTTATTTACTTAAGAACAAAACACGACAAACGATGACGAACTCGCCGTCAGACAGAAGCACAAAGATAAATTAATCGCCAGTCAGTCACAGAGTCGATCGGTCTATTGCCCGCAGTCATTTATTCACAAGTGCTCATATATGAGTATATCGGAGCAATGTCGAGATTTAAAGCCATAGTATGTCGTCATAGCACCAATAATAAGAAAACTACTTGTTTTGCCTGCAGGAGCAAATCCATTTTGCAATTATTTGCCCGTTGTCAGTTAATTATAATTATTTGTGAAGCAACAAAATGCTCGGAAAAAAAAATTTACAAAAAATGACTATAAACAATATTGTTTGTCAAAAAACAACAACAAATGAAATGTGACTTTGAAATCAGCTTAGCAGTTTGAAATTATAAGCGGGTCGAATACAACTTGAGAAGTGCACACACCCAATTCATCAACTGAAATTGATCGAAACGAATTAGAATAAATCATAAAACAGAAATAGTATTAATCCAAACGAACAAACTTCTTATTAACTTTACCCATATGCAGTTTGAGGGAAATTTTTTCTTATACAAATTATTAATATTAATATTTATTTTTATCCAACCTTTAAGTTAACACTTAACATACTTTTTAAATTTAACTTTAAACTAATTTTTTAAATTTATTTTTGAAATAAAATTTTTTTTTAAGCTTTGGTTTGTTTTAGTTTTATAAATAAGCAATGTATTCTCCAAATTTTAATGTCAGAATACCAATCTTTTTCGCCAAGCTACTGTAATTTTTCCTTGAACTCTATTTCGGTATCATAATTCAAACAAATATCAACAGCTTTTTTTATGGTCTGCAATGGTCTGCGTTAAGTGGTAAATTAGATTTAATCGAAAAATTATAAAGCAGTTAAATCGTGCTAAATAAATAAAAATAAAACAAACAAAAAATAACACTTTCATAGCGAGAGTTAGAACTTTATTTTTTTTTTATGAAAAACTAAACGAAGTTATACGCTAAATAGTGATTTTTAATTATTTTACAAAACTATTCCTAATGCCAATAAATAAATAAGAATATAACAAACAAAATATAACACTTTCAATGCGAGAGTTAGATTAAAATGTAATTTAATGAAAAACTAAGTTAAGCTTTTAAGCAGCATCCGTTAAAAAATGAGGACATTTCCTTGAACTTTATTTCGACATGCATCATAATTCGCCACAAATCAAAGTTAATCCAAATAAATATCAAGAAGTATCATTTATGGTCCGGCATCAAAAGTTCAACCTTAAAAATGGAGATCCGACACAAGTCAAGCTTGGTAGCTGATACCATCTCAATCAAAGACGAATAAACATTTTTAACTATTTTCAAGTGAGCTCAAACAATGTCTGACTTGTACAAATGAATGTCAAACGCTGCTGCAGCAGCAAATAAAATTAGCAATAAATTTAAATAAATAACTGCCTGACGATATTAGATCATGCGAAATCTCAGGGGAACCGTTTGCGGAGGAGAGTGCCAACTAGCACTCAAAACACTCGAAACGAAACCGAAAATCTGAATTGAAAATCACTCAAGAGAAGACCAACTGAGACCCGTTTCTTCCATACGATCCTATACGATACTATACGATCCGATACGATCCGATGCGATCCGGCCAACGCAAAAAGCACCCACACAACGGGTGGATATTTGGGGAAAGAGAGAACTGGTTTCTCTTCAATGACGTTGTGTTGGCGTTGGCGAGCGCCAGTGGGTTTCTCGGTTTATTGGTCGCTCAGCCAGTGAGAAAACGAGAAAACGAGACTTTGCTGCCTTTTAATGCGGCATTTAATTCATTGATCGTTCCAATAGCGCGCCGCACGCTCAGCGCAGCAGACAAGTCCGACTTCCATCGCCGCCCACTCGCCCCAAGATCGCTGGCCGGGCTATAACGGAGTCAAAGCCAAGTGGCTCAGCTGACTCGGCTGGCATCCCAGCCCATCCATCCCGTTCCACAAACCGCACAATCTCGACATTGACGATCCGCGGCCCGAGATATATCTTTTCAGTGCACAGCGGACAAGCGCAGCAGGCGGACGCAGCGCAGCATTTTCTCCGTGTATTTTCGTACGCCAACTCGGGATATTGGATATATGTACATAGATACAGGCCGACATCGAGATACAGATACAAAGCTATATGCACAGCCAAGCGACGCGTTCTCATAGATATTTTTAGCAACCGGCCTCACGCACACCGCCGTAGTTTAGTCCCGCCGCACTGACACACGCGGCTTGCACGTTTCGGAAAATCCATTCTTCGAGGCTTTTCCTGCAAACACACCAAGAAAGAGAAATACGCGAACACAAACAAAAGTTCTTATATGTGAATAAATCGCCGCAAGGGAATCAATTCAAGTCAAAACAAGCTCTACAGTTTTGAGGAAATAAAACTGAAATTCCATTTTTTGTTGTGTTAATCTGCCAAATTTATGCATGAGCTAATAACTTTAATTCCGATAAAAAAAAAATAACCCAAGCAAAACAAAATAACAAGAAAAGATCGCATATCAAAATTAGTCGGGTGACTAATTAGTCGGAACCTCAATTTGCATACTTTTGCGCAACTTTAATGAACCAAAAATTAAAATAAAAACATCAACAAATCTTAATCAGAGTGCACAGCTAAATTCAAATCATCCCGAACAACCTCCCAGCCATACACTGTTGGATTTATGAAATCAAAAAGGTAAATATACCTCCGCCATCATATTTATCAGACGTAAATATAGAGTTATAGAAGAATTCCTCGATCTCTTGTTGCCGCCCCAATATAAATAGACAAAAGGCATTCCTTTGGCCAATCACGATATTGTGTGGCGAACGGAGCAGGGCAATTTTTTGAGAAACTTCTGAAACATTTATTTGTCCAAGGTGTTGAAAAGCCAGATGTGTGGAAGGGAGAATGTTCTTCAGATGTTCAGGAGGGAAAACACCGACGACAGCTAGTTGTCAACTGATTTTGAAAGGTTAGTGAAGGAGAGCAACAACTTAGCTTTGTTTGCTTGCGGCCAAAAGGAGGGGAAACATTTAAATTAATGTGTAAACAAAAGCTGTGAATTCATTATCAATGAGTACATTATTCTCGTCTTCCAATTTCTTATGGTGATGTGTTAATCAACAACTTCGGTTATTTACTTATTTAAATTTCTAAAGATATTTTTGTTAATCACCCAATGTTTTGCAGTTAATCTTTTTAAAGCTCTTAAAGTTGTTAAGAACATTCTTCAAATTTGTATAACTTATAAGCGACTTTTAGAAATATTCCTTTTCTTGATATTCCTTATCACAAATTCGTTGGCTTTGGGTCAAGAATTTAAAAAATATATCATAGCTAGGACTAAAAATAAAAAACACATATGTTTTTCTGTCCTCTTAATGAAAGGAAATTTATTTTGCAGTTCCACAAAGAAAATTATTAGTTTCAACCTTAAACACATTTTGAATTTTTTTAGATAATTTTTATTGGTTGAATTTACGAAATAATAAATAGATCAATCCAATTAAAATCATCATCAGTGGTCATGTTAATCAATATAAATTGTCCTTTACATTTTTTCGTTTACTGGTTTTTATGAATTTTTTACCAATAATTCCTACTAATCAAGTCGGGCGTATAAATCTGATAGTCAACTATTAGCTATAGACTCATGGACCTTCCGCGTCTCTAAATATACTTGCCTACCTCATTGTTTGCTGTCCCCCTGACCCAAATCTCGGTCCAATGTGGGAACAGCTGTCCGACTCTATGGAAAGGCAACTAAAACAATAACAATAACAGGATGACATAAAGAAAAATAAAAATTAGCCAAAAGGCAAATGCCAGAGACCTGTCAAAAAATCAAGTAAATCAAAAGCCGATGGGTAATACAAAACCACACCAAAAGCTATCAAAATATAACTCAAACGTGGGCACATGTATATATATATATTTATGTATATACCTACAAATAAGTAAAAAAGGGAGACAGAGAATGTAAACACGGCACCGTCACACATACGCAGTGTGTGCCAATTTTAATAAACAAACTCAACGTAAATGGAAAATCAAACAAAATCATTTGGCCAAAGCAATGGCAACAAATCAACAGCATAAAAAAAAAGGAAAATGAAACGAAACACACAAAGGAATAAAGCAAAAAATTAAAAGATGCCAAAAGGAAAAATAAAGAAGAGAAAAATAACAAATAAGAACTTGCCGCAGGCTGGCTAAAAATAATAGCTGCCAACGGTAGCACACACGATACAAAAGGCAGGGGGATATGCAACGTGCAACTGGCAACAGCACGAGACAACAGCAACAATAACAGGCAGCTAGCAAAGCAACAACAAAGGCTATAGTAAAAGCAAAAAATTCGAAAGCAAATGAAAGATTTTGACGCTTTCCACAAAAACCAAATTAAGAATCACAAATCGAAAAAGATAAAAAATAGACAGAGCGCTATGAAAATAAGAAACAAAAATAGTGATAGAAAATTCAAGTTGCAGACAATAAAAACTAATTTTAGAGCAGTGGCAAAAACAACAACATCCGAATTAAACTGATGCCAGGCACAGAGACAATCTGAATCAGTCGAAGATTCTATGGCAGATCGACTAAGAGGGGAGATCGAAAAGTTAACTATACCACAAAATATTTTAATATTGTAAAAACAAATTAATTTAAATACTATGATATAATATATATATAATTCTTATTAAGACAAACGAAAACAATTCTAATTCAAGAATTCATTTTGCAAGTAATGCAACGTAATAGTAAAATATTTTTATATTAAATACTACAACCGAATTCTTATGGAAAGTCCAAGAGGATTATTAAAAAAATATAATGGTGAAACTTCTGCCCTTCCAATATTTTCTATATTTTGTGTCTAGGAAAAGTCGTTATAGATCCAAACTAAGTCATCAACCCTCGTTCTATCGTGGCTCGTGTGGTTCAGTTTTTTTATAGTTTGTGCCCAAGCAGCAGACGCTTCATTTTCCATTTAACCGCACCCGGCTGCCCGAATCCTTGAATTCAACATTCCCCCCGTCCCCGGATTTCCCCAACGAATCCATGGGCGCGCAGACAAGCGTGCAGAAAAAGTTCTAAATTTAATGGCTACACCTAAAAATGCAGCGACTGCAACCGAGCCAAAAGTGAAGGGCAGACTGGAGGGGGAGCAGTCACTCGCCGGTAGTTTCAAGTGCACTCCGGCTAGGCCTGGCTAACTTCCCCTTGCCCCGGACACTCTCCATCCGATTTTTCAAAAAAAAAATGTCTGTGAAACGGACCGCCCCACCCACACGCCCCTGCCCCGCCCCTCGACCCCTTCACGCCTCGACGCACGCACGGCTCGCCTTTTGTCTACCTCACGGTTGGCAAAAGAGAAAGGCAGAGGGGAAAATGGTTGCACTGAGCAAAAAATTAAAGCTCAAAACATTTTTAGATATGATGTATTTAGTAAATTAAATTGTATTTAACAATATTTATTTTATTTCAAAAGTGTAACTCAATTTATTTGGAGCTAAATAATTACAAATTCAGAGATGGCGTGTTAAATACATTCTTAAAATATTAATTGGATGAAATTAAAATTTTACGAAATATCAATTTAATGGGTAATTAATAATAACATTCAATTTATGTATAATCAGTTCTAATCCTAATGTTTATACATTTAAAACTGATTAAAATGTTGGTATTTTAAAGCAATGAAAATAACTTAAATCATATTTAACATTCGCTATTTGTCTATAGTTTTTAAACTTCAGACTTAACTGATTGCATTAATAAATAATAACATACACATTTAATTTTTAAAGTTAATGTTTCTTAGACCATTTATTTTGATATTTTTCTGTGTGTACAATTGAATTGGATAGGCTTTTGTGTAAGGGGCAGAGGAAATGTTCTATGTTTGTTGTCTGTGCATTTCAATTGGGCGCTTTTTGCATTGTGCCGGCGTGTAATTGAAAACTTAAGCAGAAGCACCCTTCTCTGCAGCACTCATTTTATCCACGAAAAACCGGCGCAACAAATTTTCCAATCAACAGAGAGGGAAAACAGGGCCTACACTACTACCACCCAAGCGCCCGCTCATTTCCTGCTCCACATCCTTTCAGCATATCCTGTATCCCTCCGGCCACGCCCCCGAAAATCAGGAGGCCGCTTGTTGCTGTTTGTTCAACAAACGTTTATTAGCCGCGAATACTTTTAATCGCATGCAATTTGTTGATTGTGGCCAGTCGCTGCACTTTCCACGCTTTTCCACCCATCACAACCCCACTTTAAGCGCACGGAACTAGGTAATTTTCACGTCGTTTAGGACCGGGGGCGGGAAAAGGGGGCGGGAGAGGGTGAGCAGGTGAGCAACGGTTGCCGCCCCGCTTTGAAGACGGTGCACAAATTTTTCTGTGTTTTGCACTTAATTGCAGCTTGTTTGTTGCATGTCGCAAACTTCGCCGATGCCCTTACCACTCAAGTGGGTACATTCCATAAGGTTGGAAGGCACTTTGGTACATTTCGTTTAGAGAAATGCTTTTAAGAAATATGGTTATAAATAGGGCAGAGGTTTTAAACGTTAAATGTGTAGAATTTTAAATTCTGTAAATATATTTCCTAGATATTATTAAATCGTAAGCATTATATCGTTCAAAATGCATAATAAATCTTGTAACAATTAAACATCTGAAAATAATCTCTAAAAATAAAGATAATCAATTAAACTTTATTTGAATATTTTAAGTATGCTGAAAAATCAATATTCTACACTTCCCTTACTAACTTTTCAAAATTCTATGAGAAAAGAAAACTGTTTAAATGGATCAAAGATACTGATCATTGCCTAAAACAGAACTTTACAGTTTTAATAAGGGCATGCAATCCGTGGGCGCATTTTCCAACTTAAAAACTTCTGTCTGCAGGGTCTTTTAGCATTTCTTCGGATTGCGTGGCGAAAATTAATTATACCTCAAATCAGAGGCGAAACGCTGCAGAAAATGCTGGCACGAAGTGAAAAACTTAGCCACGTGCTGAAAGTTGAGGCAGGGAAAGGTAATTTGAATTGAAGTCGCCGGGGTTTTTTTGGGATAGGGGAAGATGAAATCTCTTGGAATTCCGCCCGCTAAGTCGCCCATTCATTCTGTCTTTTTTCTCGGCCAGACAAACATTAACGGTAATCGAAGATAAGTGGCTAAAGAAAAACACCTCATAACTTGTTTAGGCCAAGCCAAGAGCGAGCTCTGGGAATGGTCAGAGCTATGCAACAAGTGTCAAGCAGGCCAACAAGCCAACAAGCCAACAATCCAAGCCAATCCGAGCCGGATCGGGCAAGGCAGCCTGGCCAGAATCGTCTATGGCCAATTTCGGACAATCTGCACTAAATTGTCCATTTTAGTGAGGCCCCCGACTGAACCGACTAACTCGACGTGAGCTGCTCCCCTTTAGATCAACTGACTGCAATCAATCTGCTCGCATTTACACCTCTGCATTCAGACTGCCAACTTGGCCAACTGGCGATTTATGAGGCCAAGGCACAATTGCAAGGGCGTTAGCATCGATGCAGAAACATTTCAATCTCCATCTCTGTATCTCTGTATCTCTGGTGTTTGGGAGGTGGAAATGACGCCGCTGCGTTGGCTTCGTGTTACATTTTCATGTAACTTAATTCTTGCATTAAAATGCATTCATTAACTGTTGCGCTCGATGCTTTGTTTTGTTGCATTTCCAACCGACAAACAGTGGCCGCAAATAGTATCTGCCCGCGTTTAGCTCAATGCCGGCAAAATAGCGAGTGAAAAGCGATGCTGAATATTTCGTATAGCTGACCTACCGCAAACAAAAGAAAATAATAAACATTTTATTTACCACACACGAACACAAAACTTTCTCGACATGAAATCGAGATGATTATGCCCTTGGCAATGGCGGGAATTTAAAACTTTCCCAACGGTTTCATACAGCGTAGACTATAAATATTTTAACAATTACACACCAGTTTCGTTATTTTATAATCACCAAAGTAAACAGATAGTTTCCCTACACATTTCCATTTTATTTTATATTCCTTTTGTGTGGGTAATAATAAAAACTATCCACTACAATAAACCACGAATTGCCGTTTTTGTTTTGCATATAAATATAAAATCTATTCTTAGAACTCGATTTGCGATAAGACCTCATACAGCAGTAGGCTTGAAACTTATATGAGCATTTGTCATAATGAATTTCTGTGTTGAACGCAAAAGACCATAATCGTGCTACAATTTTAAAGCAATTTGTTTTTAAATTAAAGATTAAGAAAATGCTTACATGTTAATTTCGTGCAAAGCAGATAAAGCTAATGCGATCAGCATTATAAAAGAAAGCTTCAGGTAAAGTTAACAATATTTACTATTTAAAGCACAGGGCATTAAATAAAGAAATATGATTTCATTGATCAAACACAATTTCTCTTCTAAAAAAAATATTTTTATGGCATTCACAATTTCGAATTAGTTTACTTTTTCTTTAATGTCTGTATATGTATTTGTATATTTTAACGAGGTCTTTAAATATTTTTATTGGCTTTCCTGTTGAAGATTTGCTGATGAAGCTGATGGAATTTTTATTGGAACTTTTATTAATTTTCTATCTGATATACAACAGAAAAGATTTGTAAATCATTTCATAATCATATTTGTTTTAGTCAGAATAGGAAGAATTTATTCACAATAATATTTGGATACGTCTAAATAATCGTCATCCTTTAAAAGGTGTATTTTATCTGGAAATACACCCATCATAGTTAAGCGACATTTGTTGACTTTTACATTACTCACAAGTTTTGAAATACACAAAACTAAAATGGAACTTTAAAAAAACCAGACTAAACCATATTTAGGATTTGCGAAGACAGCTCATAGAGTTATTCGCATGCGAAATGACTTAAGATGTGACTCAGAAACAGATCGAGAAGATACTAGGAATTTCGTGGATTGCGCAACGCAATGAGCAATGAGAAATTTCATTTGGCAGACCAATTGCTTCTTGCCCCCGCTTCTAAATTGTATTTATGAGTTTTTTGGTTTGATGCGTTTCGTTTCGTTTTGGTTTTTCGGCTTCAGTGGGTTTTATGACGGAAGCACTACTCAAGAATCGACTTCAGTTCATTGAAGCCAATTCGAGAGCCGTTTACGGAAGTTTTTGGCGGGGTGGGTCCGAAAAAAAACCGTTTCGCTCGATTGCACTGACCCCATATGCTCCCCGATGTCTTTTAAAAAAAATTGTACAAAATTGTTAATTGCCCCGGGATGGGATGGGTTCGAAAAAAAGCCTAGAAGACCCTCGACTAAAGTCTGCCTCTGCACTCCACTTTCAGATGAAGTCCAACACGTACGAGCTGCACAACTACGCCGATCTGAATGACATGGCGGATATGGCGGACCCAAAGGATTCGCGGAAAAGGAAGACGAACATTGCGCGTGGTGAAAAGTATTCCCTGCGACAGAAGCGCCAGAAAAGGACTCCCGCCGAGGATGTGGAATCAGCCAGCCTGCCCGACTTTCAACTGGAGTTGGATCCCATTGTGGAACCGGCTAGTAAATCGAGGAAAAATACACCCACCAAGTCCAAGACGAAAGCACCGCCGTTAAGCAAATACCGACGGAAAACGGCAAATGCCAGGGAACGTACCAGAATGCGGGAGATCAACACGGCCTTCGAGACGTTGAGACATTGTGTTCCCCAGGCGATAACCGGCGAAGATGCGGTCAATACGAATGAGAAGTTGACCAAAATCACCACCCTCAGATTGGCCATGAAGTACATCACCATGCTAAGCGATTCGATTCAGGATCCCAGCTACGAGAGTGAGTTGATAGGGGAGTGTCTGGAGGAGACTGCCAATCGGGAGGCGAGACAAGACTCCGATGTGGCCGAGGAGGTTGAGGTGGAAGTGGAGCTACCTGTGGCACTTCCAGTGGTGAAAAAACCAGTCAAGTCTAAGGCGAGTGGCAAGAAGAACTCGACGGCCAGCAAGAGACAGAGCCAAAAGCTGGCCAAGACAGTGCCCCAAGTGCCGCCCACAAGTTCGGGAGAGTCCTGCTATGCCACCTCATCGATAGGATCGCCTGCCTCCTCCGCCTATGCCTCGCTATCCTCATTCTCGAACAGCCACAGCAGCAGTAGCAGTCCGGGATTGGAGGTGGACAGTTTGCTGGGACTGCACGGAATCAGCGCCCTGGGCTCCCTTCTCTTGGATGCCTCCGATGGGGATTCCCTAACCTGTTTGAGTCCCGGATACGGAAGTCTGCTCACTGGCAGCGGGGAATCGCTGTTACCCGGCTGTCGTGGCGATATACCCATGTCTGGGCTGGAAAAGTCGGACGTGGAACTCAGCCTACGATTACTGGATCACAGATCCACGGACTCCTTCGACTTTGACAGCGATCAGCAGCCCTCGGCCTGCATCAGTGCCTTTTCCAGTCTGGATGGTTATACCTACGACCTGCTGAACAACGATTTCCCCGACATGTTTCTCACGTGACGCGTATTTATTAGTAAGCCTTCACTACTCCTCTTAAGTCTAACCCTCGTTTTAAGTTAGAGTGCGAGTTCTAACACGACTTCCACATTTAGCCATTAAATGCGATGCGCCCCTGTGGCGGAATTCATTGTGTCATAGAACGCAGCTTTAAGATATATCCACATCCTGCGAAGAGGAAAGCTGCTCACCGCCACATCCACATGATAACTCAACTCAACTATTGATCTAAGCATTTCTTTGTGACGCATTTCTCGTTATCGTGTAAATAAAGCACCCAGTGTTGTTTCATGACTCGTAAATAATCTATTTTGTGGTAAATGGGAGGTGCCATTACCTGGTATTTCTATATTTTTAAGGAATTGTTTTAAATTAATTTTCGCAATACAACGTGTGCTTAGGATTTGTGTTTAAATTATCAATTAAATAGAAATATTTGAGCTTATTTTTGAACCTATGCACTTTTAGAAATCATAGACAATAAGCACATATCAAACAAATATTAATATTGTAGTTCAAATGATTTATACGTCATAATTTATTCAAAACAACAGTAGCATTTTATACATTTTTTTCATAGGCAGCGATTTTCATACCGATAACAGAAATATTTCAAGCGCAATTAACGTAAATCGCAATGTCAACCGGAAAAAAATTCAATCCGGAGGAGGACTTTCCGGAAGTGTACAAGATCTGCAAGCTGTTCAAGCCGACCGATGCGGATCTGGAGAAGATTATGGACTTGTTGGACCGTGAGATTGTGATGGGCCTGAGTCGCGACAACCACGATCGATCGACGGTGCCCTGTCACCTTAGCTATGTCCAGGATTTGCCATCGGGCAGGGAGCGTGGTCAGTTTTTGGCCCTCGAGATGATGCCCACCAACTGCCGGATAATGCTGGTGAGGTTCAGCAGCGAAAGGGATATCTACACCAGTTCCAAGTGCGTGATAATGCCGCATACTGTGGCGGCGGGTCGAGGTACCGAGGTATTCAACTTCCTGGCCGCCACAATTGCCAATTTCGTGAAGGAGAAAAAAGTGGAGAAGGACAATCTGCCGATGGGCATAGCCTTTGCATTTAGCCTCAACAAACTGGCCTTGGATGTGGGTATTTTGGTTTCATGGACCAAGGAGTTTGGCGCACAGGGAGCCATTGGCAAGGACGTGGTCCAATTGCTGCGCGATGCTCTGGCCAAGTTTCCCGAAATATCCGTCGAAGTGATGGGCATTATCAACGTGGGTGCTGGATCCCTATTGGCCCTGTGTTGGGCCCAACCCGATACCCGAATGGGCTTGATCATGGGCAGCATTGCCAATTCGTGTTACGTGGAAAAAGTCGAGAGGTGCCAATTGTACGAGGGTGAGGAGGGCAGAAGGCTAATGATCATCAATTCGGATTGGGCCCATTTCGGGGACAATGGAACGCTGGACTTTATACGTAACGAATTCGATCGCCAGTTGGACAACGAGTCCATAATTCCGGGACAGCGGATCTACGAGAAGTTCAGCGGTGCCCTCTGCATGGGGGAATTGATTCGCATTATAGTGCTACGACTGATGACCATGGGTGCCATCTTTGCGGGAGATAGACGTGACTATATTGGCATCCAGTGGAAGTTGGACATGGTTTCGGTGATCGAAATCGCCTCCGATCCGCCGGGTGAATACACTAAGGCGCAGGAGGTGATGGACAAGTTCCGGATCCGACATTGCAAGGAGCGGGATCTGGCTGCCCTAAAATATATCTGCGAAACGGTCACCACTCGCGCTGCCATGGTGGTTGCCAGTGGAGTGGCCTGCCTCATTAATCGCATGCACTTGCCACAGATCTCCATCGCCGTGGATGGCGGCATCTATCGCCTCCATCCGACCTTCGCCACAGTTCTGAATAAGTACACCCGCATGCTGGCCGATCCGACGTGCAAGTTCGAGTTTGTGATCACCCAGGACAGTTGTGGAGTGGGGGCGGCCATTATGGCGGGAATGGCACATGCCAACAAGTACAAAACCGACTCCAAGATGTTCACTATGGACTACTAGGACTGATCTTGTAATAAATTATGTTTAATGCAATAAAAATTTGGTTTTTATTTAGTTTTATTAAATGAAACTATAAAGTTCAGAAATCTGCACAACCAACATACGATTTGGATTATTTAAACTGAAGGTTATCTATAACTTCAATTATTGAAAATCTATTTCGGAGTCCCTAATGATAATCATATACAAACAACATTGTGGCAAGCAATAATATAGTTAAATATAAATAAACAGAACCAGAAAGAATGTGTAAAACTATTTGTGTAATATGCTTATCCTAAGAGCTCAAAGACAATGGGTACCCGGAATTACTTATATATATTTATATATATTATAATATAAATAAATATCTTTCGAAAATTCAATCTAAGCAGGTAACTTTATTTGTGCACTCAAAAACTGTCGGCTAAACTATTTCTCCGTTCGGAACTAAATTCAAAATTGATTTCTCAATCCTTTTATTTTGGAAAGGGTCACTTCTGGCGATTGTGAAAGAACAATGCCGAGTCTTGTTAACCCGGAAGTGGAGATGGCGGTCAAGGGCTTCATTCTCGACCAGGAGAAGATGGCCGAGGTGGTGGAGCGCATGACCAAGGAGATGAAGATGGGCCTGGCCAAGGACACGCATCCGCGTGCGGTGATCAAGTGCTTTGTAACCTACGTACAGGATCTTCCCACGGGCAAAGAGCGGGGAAAATATTTGGCTCTAGATCTAGGTGGCTCTAATTTCCGGGTGCTCCTGGTGACCCTGAACAGCGATTCGGACGTGGAAACCATTTCAAAGAGCTTTGAATTCCCAAAGTCCCTGATGTCGGGATCGGGCAAGGCACTATTCGATTTTCTAGCCGAATGCCTATCGGAGTTCTGCATCGAAAATGGCGTGCAGGACGAGACGCTGCCACTGGGCTTCACCTTCTCCTTTCCCTGCCAGCAACAAGGTCTTTCGAAGGGCATCCTAGTGGCCTGGACAAAGGGATTCAGCTGCGAGGGCGTGGTGGGCAAGAATGTGGTGAGTTTGGGGATTTCTGAAAATATTGATATACAGATATCGTATCGATATTTAATGTATTGACCGATTAAAATATCGTTATTTTATATATGTATGTGACACCTATTGGAATTTAAACATTAAATATTGTGATGGGTAAGGTTTGGAAAATGTCCAGTTTGATCGTTATTTTCTGGTTCAGAACGATATTTGAATCAAAATTTCGATATTTCTAGATGATATTTTCTATATACCTCACTAGGTCACTCTTCTCCAAGAGGCCATTGACCGGAGGGGCGATGTGAAGATCAACACGGTAGCCATACTAAACGACACCGTGGGCACTTTGATGTCCTGCGCCCACAGCCATAAAAATTGCCGGATAGGACTGATCGTGGGGACTGGCAGTAATGCGTGCTATGTGGAGAAAACCGTAAATGCCGAGTGTTTCGAGGGATATCAGACCAGTCCCAAGCCCTCAATGATTATCAACTGCGAGTGGGGCGCGTTTGGGGACAATGGTGTCCTGGAGTTCGTGCGTACATCCTACGACAAGGTGGTAGACAGGATAACGCCGAATCCCGGAAGACAGACCTTCGAGAAGTGCATCTCGGGCATGTATATGGGCGAATTGGTGCGCCTCGTTGTCATCGAAATGATCAACAAGGATGTGATGTTCCACGGAGATAAGTCGCAAAAGATCCAGAAGGCCTGGAGCTTTAATAGCTCGTACATATCCGATATCGAGAGCGATCCGCCTGGGGAATACCGTTCCTGCAACAAGGTCCTCAACGAACTGGGCATTATTGGAAGCCAGGAGTCGGACAAAGAGTCCCTGAAACTCATTTGCGAGGCGGTCTCCTCGAGATCCGCCAAGCTATGTGCCTGCGGACTGGTCACGATCATCAACAAGATGAACATCAACGAGGTGGTCATCGGCATCGATGGCAGTGTCTATCGCTTCCATCCCAAGTACCACGAGATGCTCCAGTTCCACATGAGGAAGCTCCTCAAGCCGGGTGTCAAATTCGAGTTGGTTGTTTCTGAGGACGGATCCGGAAAGGGAGCAGCTTTGGTGGCGGCCACTGCTGTCCAGAACAAGCCAAAGATATAAATTATGAGTGCTAGCAACTGTTGACCAGCTAAATTTAATCGGCTACATATACGAAAAGTACTATTTAAAAGATTAATGCACCAATGTTAAATTGCAAATTTAAAATTTTAGGTGAACCTTTCAAAATTATTAACATATTTTGTTTAAGAATATACGGAGGAAAAAAATTTTTGAAGATCAACAAAACAATGAAAGTTACAAATCGATGTTATGTTAATTAATTATTAAAATGGTAATATTTCTATATCCCAAGTTCCTTAATTACAAACTAACTGGCTAACGATAATAATTTAATAGTGATATACATTTTTCAATTTCAAATTTAACTGCTCCAAAAAACCTGCTTGCATATAAACTGCTTAACTATCATCCACTTTTGCAGCAAGAGTGGAAATGCTTTATGTTAATTATGTTTTTTAAAGAAATTGTTTATGTCGGAACTTTCCTCATTATAAACTAATTGTCCAACAATATTTCTTACAAAATAGTGAAATTTTAAACAATTTAAAATGCACTGCTCTGAAAATCTGTATTCCTATTAACTGCTTAGTTATTATTGGCGGGGGTTAGTTTTTTGTAGCAGTCGGCTTTCTTCAGACTGGGAATGCTCCATGTTAAAAGATTTGAGTTGCAAAACTACGGTATTTTCAAGCAGTGCAGTGATAAGGGTATTCCCCAAAGGAATATATTAACCGAACTATTTCTTTATCCGTAGCTAATTAACACTATTGTTTATTAAATAATACCACCTTATTTTATCAGCCACGTCTTTATAATGAACAGAGATAGTAAACTCTATTTATCGAATATTTAACGATTCTAGGGAATTCCCTAGATATATTTGTGATGGTATAAAAAGTGTTTTCGAGTCAGACGGTCACACTGTTATTGTATTGTTATTGCAATTTCAACAAATTTTAACCAATTTAAGGCAACCAGAGGATTACTGCGTGGTTTTCCAGCCCAACTAAGGTTACTTCAACTCCAGATAAACAGGTAAGTCTCGAAGCAGGCCTTGCTCCATGGAAATGGGCCAGATAAAACCCAAAAACACCCCGATTTGGGGCTGCTGGAAAAGGCAAGGCCAGCTGCCCATTTGGGATTGCAATACTCCATTCTCAAGATGATTGCCCTAAACCAAATGCATCGGGCGCTGCAGAGCGAGGCCATTCATGCTCTAATCAGACTTTTCAGCGACGACATGTCCCAAGGAGGCGGCGCTACACCAGCGGGCGGCAATCCCACAGCGCTCCAAGCCACCGGAGGGGGCGTGGTCTTCAGCAAGGTCTTCATCCAACGCGACTACAGTGAAGGAACCTCCGTCAAGTTCCACACCCGACTGCCCACTGAGCTGGAGGGCATGGTGAGTATAATGTCTGCAATTAGCTTATAACCAGGAGATATGTATATATATATATATTACTACCCTCCAGATCGAACGACACGTCTTCGAGGCCACCATCAACAGGCTAAACGAATTCTATGCCGAGGCGGAGGAGGGATCCTGTGGAACCTACTGCGAAGGATGCATCGGCTGCATCACGGCCTACTTGATTTACATGTGCTCCGAAACGCACTACGAAAAGGTGCGTCACTTGGGCGGGGGACTATATAAATCTGCGGCCAAAGCAATAACAATCAATTGCAATATAGGAACTACTGCAACTTTTTATCAGGATTCCTTTTATTTATATAAATCCATGTTTTTAGGGATTCCTTAATATTTATCTTTGTAGCAAAACGTTACAAGTGTACTTTAAAAAACTTAGTTTCTTTAAATGACCATGTTAAAATTTTAAGTCTTTTCTAAGCCTAATTTCACAAAGTATTATAGCCATTAATAGTACCTCTCTTTAGATTTTTGAAATACTGTTTACTGGCCTAGAATGTTTATAATGGTAACTTGTAATTGAGCATTAGTAGATTTCTTGGAGAACAACTAAATAATTTAATTATCCTCAACTAATACTTAAGATATTATTGAACCAAGATATCTATTATTTCATCCATTAACATTGAGAACATAACAAAATAATACATATTTAAAAAAAGATGTCCTTAATTATTAAGAAAAGAGAAATTTCTCCAATTTGCAGAGCCACTAATTACGCAACCTATATTTACCATCCCCAATTTATGTTTAACTACCCCCACAGACCCTTCGCAAGATATCCAAATTTGTGGCTTCCCAAAACGAACGCATTTACAACGCCAAGGGTCTGCAGCTGATCGATCCGACTTATCGGGGACTTCGCGTCATAGAGATTACAATATTCGATCGTCCGGGGCGGACGTGACTTCCGCTTTCCCATTCAGCCAACGAGTTTTTCATGTGAGATCGACCAGCGACAGTCGCATCGACAGGAAGATGAAGGAGGAGAGTACGTGTTTCAGCAATTATCAAGTAAAAGTCAGCGCCATTGTGTGTGTTTCCAAAAAAAAACCAATACAAAGCTGGTTAATCAGCTAAAGCTTTATAACCTATTACCATATGTGTGAGTGGCTAAGATATTTCAAATTGACTCAGAGAACTAATGAATTTCCATTTCCTTTTCCAGCTTGGGAGCGCAGCGGCCAGAGCTTCGGGCATGCGACTTAGTCACGGGTGTGCTGGGAGTCCTCCTCCGCTGCAGCCACATACGATATGCTAGATTAGCCGTTAATAATTAGCCAAGGCAGTGTATGGCCAGTTAGTTAGTATTTATGCATTAGCAGGCATAGTCTTTTAAGTGAAAAGCTACCGAAACTGCATTTTAAGCCGAAGCAAGCATCAACATATACACACCATTGTTCTACTTATCAGACCGAAAGGCCAGCGAGAATTGATTGTTTTGTAATATGAAAAAAAAAGAAAATTGTATACATCTTGTTTGTAGTAGTTACTAACAATTCGATTGTCAAAAGTTTTAATTTTAATGGCATTACCATACATAAATACATAGTTCAAGCTTTATCAGACAAAGCATACGCATAACGTTTTCTATACAAAACTCTTACCGATTTCAAACAGCGCCAAATGAACTTACCCATAATCAAGTGGAGAATTGTTCGATTATTAATTTAAATCAGCAACTTGGATTAACATAGTTATGTATCTTATACATAAGGAAAAATATATATTGCCGTCATATATAAACGTGCGTACAACTGTTTTCCTGCGGTGGGTAAATATCAAACGAAAAGCAAACATTTTAACAGCAAAATTTGTTTTGCTAATTTTTTATTGTGCTTCGTTATTTACTTATTTATTTTATTTAATTTATTTTGTTCTAGACAATTTTGGTCTATATAAAGGTCTTTGAGGTCTCTGGAATACAGTCACTATTGTTTCAAACTTAAATAATGAAGCTAGCAACCCTTCTATTGGCCGTGGTCCTGTTCGCCGGATTCTTCCTGGCTCAGCCGACGTCTGCTCAGACGAACTCCACAACAACCACCAATACGACCTCGGATGCAACCACTACAACGACCACTGCCAAGGCCATCACTTTCCACAGGAAACATTTCAAGTTTAGAACTGATCAATTCAAAATCGTCCACAAGACTAAAAAGAAAAAGTCTTGTTAACATACAAGGAGGTTTATGGAACACTTTGGAATGAAAAATAAATATATTGGAAACAAAATTAAAAACCTTTTTATACCCTTGCAGAGGGTATTATAATTTTGGTCAAAAGTGTGCAACGCAGTGAAGGAGACATCTCCGACCCTATAAAGTATATATATTCTTGATCAGGATCACCTCCTGAGTTGATATAGCCATGTCCGTCTGTCCGTCTGTCTGTCCGTCTGTCTGTTTCTACGCAAACTAGTCTCTCAGTTTTAAAGCTATCGAGTTCAAACTTTGCACACACCCTTCTTTCCTTTGCACGCAGTATATATGTCGGAACGGCCGGGATCGGCCGATTATATCCTATAGCTGCCATATAACTGATTGATCGGAAATGCCATAACTTTGGTGTTTGTAAAGTTAGGAAGTTGGGATTTTCTATGGGTTTTATATTTGGCCAATAAATCCGACCTACCAAATTTCATAAGGATCAGCCGACTATATCCTATAGCCGCCATATAACTGATTGATCGGAATAACTTTGGTGTTTGTTAAGTTAGGAAGTTGGAATTTTTTATGAGTATTAAGAATGCATCATATGAATAATTTTGGAGAATATAATTTACAGAGTATTCTGCAAGGGTATATCAACTTCGGCTCCGCCCGAAGTTAGCATTCCTTTCTTGTTTTATACTAATGCGTTGCCGATCTATACATAGAACTCCTGGTCTCTACATAACGGTTGGTTCTTAAAATAAAAAATAATACTGTTTTTTGTTTATCATTGAACGTTTTTTGTCAAGTTCAAGCACAAATTATTTAAAAGCAGTTTTCTGGGGGTTTCGAGTGATATTATTTCAAATCCAGCTGTTTCTATTGTTTAAGGGAATAACGGGTATAAAAATATTTAATTTTTGTTCGAAGAGTAGTTATCAAGTAAAAGGGTATATTGTATTCGTGCAAAAGTATGTAACAGGTAGAAGGAAGCGTTTCCGACCCTATAAGGTATATATATTCTTTTTCAGGATCACTAGCCGAGTCGATCTAGCCATGTCCGTCTGTCTGTCTGTCCGTATGAACGCTGAGATCTCGGAAACTATAAAAGCTAGAAGATTGGCATTTTGCATGTAGATTTTAGGAGTTCCTACGCAGCGCAAGTTTATTTTAAAATGGTGCCACGCCCCTCTGACGCCCACAAGCCACAAGCTGTGGCCACAGTTTTGTTGCTATTATGAAAATTTTAATTGATATGTATTTGTTTCGTCAATACCTATCGATTGGCCTAATAAAAGTTTGCCACGCCCACTCTAACGCCCAAAAACCCATTAAACGCTTAAGCCTGGCTAGCGCCTACATTTCCGCCTTTCATGGCCCGTGGTACCAATGTCTTGGGGTAGATGGCGCAATACAATAGCGCCATCTAACGGATAAACAAAATTTTGGGGAACATGGAGATTCCAAACTTGAATAAAGTTTGGCAACTCAAGCCGACTCGTATGTCCCCAAATTTTATTTTGGTTTGAAAGACCCCGTTGCAAATCAACGGCCTCCACGTGGTGTTCCCTGGGTACCGATTTTAACATAAAAATCGGGAGCTAATTGGAGCGGCGAAAAACATACAAGAAGGCATATTTATATTAAGTTGTTTAGCTGAGTAACGGGTATCTAATAGTCGAGGCACTCGACTATAGCGTTCTCTCTTGTTTTATGTTGCAATGAACCATCTTATAAAGGATCAAACATAATGAAAATCTTTTAAAATTATTGCGCTATTTAAGAAATGGGAAACAATCCATGTACGAGTTCAAAAATGTACAACAATTTTAAGATTTGAGTTTTTAAGTTTTAATTTTAATGGCATTACCATACAAGTTCAGGCTTTATCAGACAAAACATACGCATAACGTTTTCTATACAAAACTCTTACCGTTTTCAAACAGCGCCAAATGAACTTACCCATAATCAAGTGGAGAATTGTTCGATTATTAATTTAAATCAGCAACTTGGATTAACATAGTTATGTATCTTATAAGGAAAAATATATATTGCCGTCATATATAAACGTGCGTACAACTGTTTTTCCTGCGGTGGGTAAACATCAAACGAAAAGCAAACATTTTGAAAGCAAAATGTGGTGTGCAAATTTTGTTTTGCAGATTTTTCATTGTGCTTCGTTGTTAACTTATTTATTTTGTTGTAGACAATTTTCGGCTATAAAAAGGTCTTTGAGGTCTCTGGAATACAGTCACTATTGTGTCAAAGCAAAAGAATGAAGCTAGCAATCCTTCTATTGGCCGTGGTCCTATTCGCCGGATTCTTCCTGGTTCAGCCGACGTCTGCTCAGACGAACTCTACCACAACCACCAATACGACCTCGGATACAACCACTACTACGACCACTGCCAAGCCCAGCACTGTCCACAGGAAACATTTCAGGGTCAAAGATGTTCACTACAAAATCGTCCGCAGAGTTAGCGTCAGCAAGAAAAAGTCTGGTTAACATACAAGGAGGTTTATGGAACACTTTGAAATGAAAAATAAATATATTTGAAACAAAATTAAAAACCTTTGTACTAATGGGTTGCCTGCAAAAAATGGTCTTAAATTTATTCAGTTCTCCGATCTATATGTAGAACTCCTGGTTTCTACATAACTGTTGGATCTTAAAATAGAAAACAATACTGCTGTTTGTTTATCACTGAACATATTATTTTGTCAAGTTCAAGCGCAAATTATTTTATAGCAGTTTATGGGTTTTTTGGGGGGGGTTATTATTTCAAATCCAGCTGTTTCTATTGTTTAAGGCCTTTACTACAGTCAAAAGTTTCCAATTCAGTGAAGAAAATGTCTCCGACGCTATAAAGAATATATATATTTGCCTAACATCACCAGGATAGTCGATCTAGCCAAGTCCTGTCCGCCAGTTTTACCAAAAGTCGTTTTTCTATTACTCTCCGAAATTTAGTAACTTTTTAAAATTTTAGAACTTCGATTTTAATTTTGTTAGAAACCAATCACTATATGATATAGTTTAAAAGGAACGAATTGAAAAAATTAAATAGCTTCATTGTTTTTAGTCAAATACGCATAGAACCCAAAATAAAAAATATTCAATTTTTGTTCGAAGAGTAGTTTTCAATGCTTAAAAATGTGGATTTTTTTATGTTGAAATGACCCAAATCTTTTGAGGGATCAAACATAATGAAAATCTTTTAAAATTAATCCATAGACGAGTTAAAAAATATACAACAATTTTAAGATTTGATATTTGTATATTTTTCTACATATTTTTTAAAGCAACAAATTCATACGGTCTTTCCTCTCTATTAGATGACTACACCAGCTCTTTTCTGCGGATTTCCATTTTCCTTTAACGCACCAAAAAAATATAATATAACATTAAATAATAGGTTCTTGTCCAGGTTCCGTGGGTTCAAAGGTGCGGTCATCCGATTCCGTCGAAAAATCGACCGGGACTTATTCACGTTTACTTGCCCGCATCGTTCATGTTCTTGGGCAGACTGAGCAGCGAGTTAATGAGCTCCGAGTTGCGTTTCCTGATGGGCATGGATGGGACCAAGGAGTTCTCCAGAACCAGCGGATACCGGCAAAGGGTGGCCACCTGGCCGGGCGTAAATTGTCCTAAGTTGTTGACCCAGTCCAGCAGGTCCCGGTTGTATTCCTTGCGCACATAGCGCTCCTCATCCGGAATAGCCATGGAGGATCCGCATCGGGAGCAAATGGCCAAAAGCACCAGGACAAAGATGTACGTATATCGAACCATTTTCCTGAGGAACTCGAGATATGAAACAGGAATAGAGCACGGTACACCTGCAGCAGAAGACTTGCGAATGAACGTTGCTTGAAATATCCTCGACTTTTATAGGACCCTGGACCTAGGTAAATCTCAGCGGGAGACCGCGCAACCACGCAACCCAAAAGCGTCAGTATCGGTGTCATCTGCAGGACCAATACATGTCATCCGCAGTCCTTGTTGGTCCTCCAAGCCACGCAAATACGAAGTCGAGTTAGATCCACGCAAATATTTGATTATGCAGTGTTTTATGGGCCAACATGCAGGCAGCCAGGAACCAAATCCCATTGGGCTACAGGAATATTTGTTCGGGAAGGAAGCTTATTGGCGACACACTCGCACACTTAGAAAAAAAGAGTCTCTCAGTTAAGACATTTTACCAATGTTAGCCAAATTAAAAAGAGCAGAGCTGCTTAAAAAAATTAAATCACTCAAGGCTTAATTATCGGCTTGCCTCTCATATTATTATAATTTTTTTAAAAATATGAGGAAGTAAGTAGTATTTTTTTTATATTATATATTTGATGAAATTACAAATTACAAATTTAACGTAAGATTATGTACCCGAATAATATTTAAAATCGATATACTCTTTTTTATTTCCATGAAGTGAAACAATTAGGAACCATTAATATATCTTTATGGTTTTTTATTTGTTTAAGTCCCATCAACTTGTTTCTAAAATGTTCTAATAATTTTTCATTAAGCCTGTAACAAACCCTTATTTAATCCAGAAAAGAGCATTTATTAGGTAACTTTTCTCCGACTGTAAAGTATGATTAATTTTAGAACACAAGTCGTAAAAATAAAAGCCAGTTAATATCTAATTTAATAGCTGTTGGCTTGCTCTGCAAAATTCCAGCTTTTTCTTTTGTTTTATCACCAGACTGTTCAAATATGGCCAAAAATTTTTGCGCAGACGTAATTGGCGCTAGCATAATAACGCAGATATTTGTTGAGCAAAACCGTCTATTGTCTTGGCCACATATAAAACTCGAAACGACTGAATTAGTGGACAGCAGATCAACAGCATCATATCTCGCAAGATGAAGGCAGGAAAACTGGCACTGAGAATCCTGGCGATAAGCCTTTGCATTTGGCTAACCAGTGGAGCCACCTCATCAACAACATCCACCGAAGCATCAACGACAACAACAACCACTACGACCAGCACCACCACAACCACGACGGCCGCCACCACAACCACCAAAAAGTCGACGGTGCATCGCAAAAGGGTATATTTGAATGGCTTCAAGTACTCGATAAAGCGAAAGGTGTACAAAGCCTCCACTGGGACTTCCAAAAACAAGAACCGATCAGGCAGACGCAACTCTCGCCGCCGAAACAACAAGCTGTTCAGACGCCGCAATCAGGGATAAGATTCCCACTCCAAACACATCATTAAAAGCAATAAAAGACTTTTTCCAAAGACGCAAGTTAATACTAATATATTATTAAAGATCTAAATCAAAAAAAATACTCTACTTGACAAAATTGATCCAGAAGATAACTTTTTTTAAATGAATAGAGCTATCGGCATTATTTTTATACGTTGTGCCCAGGACTTATGAATAGTGTTTGTTGAAACGTTTACCTTCTACAGACTCTTATGAAGTTTATAAAAATACAAGTATAGTAGTATAATTTAAAAAAAAACTTGGATTAAAAACAGTATCTTAATCATTTAATGAGCTTTAAAACTTTCGTTTATAGTTTATCTAAACAACCAAAAGGAGATCGAAATCTCCTTTTAATTATAGTGTGGTAAATACTCAGATACTGATTTTGGATTTTTTTTTAGTTTTTTGAAGCCTTAAAATCTACTAATATCTTGTATCACTTGTTAAATTTCTTTAGTTCCAATCAACAGGTTGCCCGTCTAGCATGGCTGTGCGCAGTCAGACCACGCTCATATCATCCTTTATCCCTGCTCAATGACTTCACGTGCGCCAAAAACATTGACCCAGCTCTGCCCACATAAACGTAAACATCGACTATATCTTCGCAGGGTGGTTTTACGATGACAATAACTTTCCTTGCAGCTACATTACCACCATTTTGATGGCCAAGGCTGGGCGTAGTTCACTCCAGCGATTTGTTTGCACTGCATTTGTGACCAGACCAGACCCAAAATCCGGTGGACGGAGAGTGGTTGTTGGCTCTTCGTTCTTCGTTCATCGTTCAACGTCCACCGTTTGCTGTCTTAAAAGTCTGCTGAAGCATTTAACGGTCGTGTGATTTCTAGGTACACATTACTATAACACGCATGGGTTCGATTTCGTTTGGGATGTCATTACCAGGAGCGCTTCACTCGAAATATTTGCGAGTTATCAGAAGTAATTCCTAATGTTAACATTCGCGGTAAAATCTGCATTAACCATTTAATGGTAATATTGAAAGCCTTCAACCCAATAGTTTGGCTTAATTATAGAACTTTAGAGAACGTTATTTGATTGACTTAAAAAATAATTCCTTGATTAAGTTAATTATAGACTTGCAAGAAAAATATTAAAAAAAACCCCAATTAAAACTATTACATTAAAATTTTGGAGAAGGAAACATCAGATAAAAAAAGTTCACTTTCTTAGGATTTAAAATGTTGTATAAAACCTAAAAATATTTTAAATCTATTATCCTTATGTGATTTAAATTTTCTCAATTGATAACCATTATTATAAGAACTTGGAAAAGTGATACAATTTTAAAGAATAACTTTCATAGATATTATTAATTTTTCCATTTTAAACTTAGCTATTTTTGTACTACATAATTCCGGGCCTGGAAGAAGATGATTCGACCTAAACGCACACAGGGACATCACGACAGGGGTCCGCGGTCATTCACCAATTACGCGCCATTCGCTGCGGTGTCCTTAATTTCTTAAAAAGCGTTTAAACATCTAATGAAAGCATTTGGGGCCCAGCGATTTCTGCTGTCAGTCGACTCAGTTGCGTTTGCCTTTTAGCCGTGTGCGGTTCAGTTTTGTAAGGTCCTTTGGTCCTTCGGTTCTTGGCGAGCTGCAGGGAGCGACCATCGCAGGATTATGTCATTGCAGCCATGGCCAAGATAATCTCGACGATCAAGGCCATCCTTACGAGGATCATCTTTAGTGCCCACAGTTTGTTGGCCATTTGGCAAGTGGTCGCCTTGAAGAGTGATATTATCTACTGGGCACTATGTGGACCACTCTTGTTGCTGCTGCTCGAGGGCATCTTCACCATCATGATCAAGAAGGCGCAGGAGTGGCGCTGGTAAGGATCACGTCTATGTCCTGGTGATTGCTATCCGATTTATCTCGTTTTCCGAATCGTAAACAACCATCGGCCGAGGTTGACGTCATGCCGCGGTCTTTGATTTTCAATTAAAAGTGAAATCATGTGTTTAATGTGTGGCTAACCTGACCACCCACTTCTATAAAAACCCCCTACTTAGCGGCCACACCCCCACACTCAGAAAAAATTATTATGTATTTTTTGAAATTGACAATTCAAAATTAAGAACAATTACAAAATTCAATTGCCAATTTAAATCTGATTTATAACTCACATAACTCTAAAGTTTTTCGTTTAATTATCTAATAATTTGCATTCAAATACTGAAACTGAAATTCAGTTTATGCTTAATTTCTAATAATAAGCATTACATTTTTTTTTATTTTAAAAATTGTTTATTTTTATGTTTTCTTATTTTTGTTCGATTTCTGATTTTTATTTAGAGTGTTAGATGTCCACCCCACGCGCCGTAATAGTAAAAACTTTAGTGGAATTTCGTGTGGAGCGGGTAGGTTTTGGATGGAGGAGGTGTGGTCTTTCGATTCTTGTTTACTTTTCGGCGCATCACTCAGACTTGTTGTTTGTTTTGGCTGTTCGGTCGTGCAACCTTATTTATGTCCCTTGCCCGCAGGTTCTGCCCCTCGGTGTTCCTCTATCTGAGCAGCATTGTGCCGGCGATTTGGCTCCTGGAGCTGGACAAGGTGGCTCGACGAAAAGTCAACATGACAGTGGCCAATTTAACTTTTCCCAATCCGAGCAACTTCAGCGTTTCCGCCAGTAATGTGACTAGCTTGAGCTCCGGTTCGAGTAACAGCAGCGGCGTTCCTCCGGTGGCGACCCTGCTGGGCCAAGCCGGGGTAACCCTCTCGGTGACCCCGGACACCTGGACAACCCTCATCGAGCAGTTCCTCATGCTCATCCTGATCGTGGGCCGCTGGCTGCTGCCCAAGGGAGATCTAACCCGGGATCAGCTCAGTCAACTGCTTCTGGTCTACATTGGCACGGCGGCGGACATCATTGAGTTCTTCGATTCGTACAAGGATGACTCTATTGCAAGGATCAACTTTCTGGTTTTCCTTACGCTAGGGATTTGGTCCTGGAGCCTCATGCAGTTCACAATTGTGCTATCCGCCACCCGAGGACGACGACCACGGGGCAGTGGATCACATCACAAGGAGGAGTAAGTAAAATATTTTATCTTAAGTTTATATTTCGAATCGGAAAATGTACTAAAATGGTTTATACTACCTTTAAGTCTTTCAAGAACCAAATATATAGAAATAGCATTTAAAATCTTCAGTAAGGATACACTAAAACTGTTTATTAATACGATCGTATTGTGTATTATATATACTTGTTAGTATTTATACAGATATAAACTTGGCTTGCCAATTTTATGGAACATCAATACATTTGTTTTCTTCTCGCAGAAATATTTAAAACTTTAAAAAGCTAGAGAATTCATTTGCATTCCCAATTTGTAATTCGATCGAGGTCAATAAAAGCAAAGCTCTTTTGAAAAATATAATATTCATCCTTTTTAACTTATTTCTTATTTATTCAGACACACTGATTGTTGCCAAAACTGCTGCTGTGGTATTGATGTCTGGGGAATTGTACTCAATGTGATACTTCAGGATGCCCCATTCCTTACCTTTCGGTTGCTAATCATCTTCCAGTACAAAATTATTAACTACATGAATGTCTTTTTCACCTGTAAGTATCGAACTAAAAACTATATCCCATTTAGTAACTTATACATTTTTAGGCAAGAACTCCTTGGTGATAATCCTGCAACTGTATAGACTATATGTGGTGAATGCCGAGTTTTGGAAGAATCGTCGTGAGAGTCGGATGGCCAAGGCCCGTCAGTTTCAATCACGTCGTAAAGTGCAGGATACTGATCAAAACAGTATATACATGATATCCAATGAACGAGGTGGCGACGTCAAAAAGAAGATCAGAAAGTAAGTAATAAACGGAGTACTTTAAATAAATTCATTTCGTATAAGGTCGAGTTGATGTTAAATTCATTCAAAAATGTATTAATTCTAAATCATCGTCATCTTTTAGGGCCAAGGACAAGGACTATGCAGAGCACGAGGCGGCGTTTAGCAAGAAGAAAAAGGATAAGAAGGACAAGTCGGTATTATACAGAATATTCCTCCATGACAACTCTGATTTACCCATTGATTCCAGGAAGAAGCGCAAGCGCAAGGACACTGGCTACTCCACGGCCAGTTCGCAGAACCTGTACTCCACCAAGGCGAGTGGAACGGAAAAGGAGACCCGGCGCAAGGACAAGAAGGGCAAGAAGTCGAAGCGCACCTGCAGCAGTTCGCCCAGCGATTGCGATTTGGCCAAGAAGCAGAAGCGTGGCAAGAACGCTGATAAAAACGATAAGAAGTAGGTAATACCTCGGGATTATGGTGGTTATCCTTTAACTAATTATCTCCTATTCCCACAGGAAATCCCGCAAGATCGAGGCAGTTGTGGAGGAGTCGAGCAGTTCGAGTAGCAGCAGTTCCGATTCAAGTAACTCCACATTGCCCAGTTACGAGGTTATTGACGAGAAGAAAGCCAGGCGCAGAAAGCGCCGTGGAAGTAGTAGCGACACCAGTTCCGGGGATAGCAGCTCCTCCAGCTCCTCATCCTCCAGCTCGGACTCGTCGTGAAAATTACACTTTTTTGGAACTAACGACAGTCGTTAGGGAATCAAATTTGGTCCCAGTCACTTGGCATATTTAAGTGACTGAGACATCCTGCTCCAGAAGCGAAGAACTTTTGTAAGACCCCACTGGGCACGTCAAAAATTGTATCAGTAACGCATCGAGCCCTAATCACAAAAATATCATTAGCTTACGGTTTTACCCTTGAATGTTGAGGGTTATTAAATACAATATTGAGTAATTTTCGTAAATGGTGGATTAAAAATCAATGATAAAGCTTAAAAAATAATGCATTATTAGTAGTCGCTCACAAGAGATGTTACCTTTTTAATGTGATACATCAAATATTCATAATCCGCAAATAGGAGGCTTCCATACAAGTTGGCTTTTATTATTTTCGTGGTCAGAGCTCGATATATTTTGATATATTTGTATAAACTAAACTAAACTATGGTATATTTGAATGGAAATTAAAAACGCGGGCTGCACAGCGATGAGTTGGCAGCTCCGCCTTGAATACATTGGGGCTCTTTGTGGCTCTCTTTATGGGGGATTCTCTTGGGTCTCTTAGGTGTAATGTCGTCAGGTGTTCCTCTCTTTAGAACTCTCTTTGCCCCATGGAAAGCTTAGCAACGCGAACAGCTGCTAAACTTTTGTTGACACACAGATAGCTCTGGTGTTTTAAGTGTTAGTGATGGGGAGGGGGTTGGATGGTTGGAGATTTTCGTGAGCGAGTGTTTTTGTAATAGTTGCCGCCGAGCGTCCAAACGCTGCGGACGCGATTTTCGCTTCTCTTTTTGTCGTTTTGGTTACGCCTTTGAAAACTCGCGTAGCGCCGCATAAAGCTTTGTTGTTGTCGAGTGTGTAAGTTCAAGAGTGTGTGAGTGTGAGTGAGTGAGCGTGCTTTGTCGGATCCACTGCATATATACTTTGATACATATATATACGTACGATATATTGCATATTAATAAAAGTTCTTAAAAAGGAACTCTCGAATCCAAGTGCTGTCTTTCAAAGCCTCCTTTATTAATAACCCCCAACTACGCCCTCTCTTTTTACTATATGTATACCCCAACAAAACAACAACAATTACCGTCCCCCAAAAACTAAACTAACTTTTAACAAAACAAGCGCAAAACAGTTGCTAAGCTGATTAAAATTTAAACGATAATAATGGAGCAGGTGTGAATTTTGTTTTTTTCTTTGTGAATAATTCAATTAATACTTGTTACGAGGCTGACAAATGTTTGGCGAATGGATTTATCACAGATACACTGTGAATTCCCTCGACAAATTGGCTCATCGTGGAATTGTACACCCCACATACGGACTATAAATGTATATATAGGGGGTGGACTGGACTGGACCGGAGAATCACGAACTCAAAACACGTTCGCGGCCTTAAAGTTCAGAAATTATAGCTTCTTGGTCGGTTCATTTCGTTTTCGTTTTCATTTCATTTACTTCTTCGGAGGCATTTTTACCTGGGCACGCGTGCTGAAGGTTAAGGTGGCTTCGAGTTTCAACTCCCACGCCCCCCATCCCCTTCCGGCCCCACCCACCACGTGTTGTTTTGTTTTCGCTCATTGTTGTTTTGCGTTTTAGCCACCCAAACCTCAGCGAACAGCAGCTTTTGTCCGAGAATTATCCCGCTCTTTAAGGGAATCTTTGAGAAAACGCTACGGCTCTCCGCTCTCATTATGCCGGTTTTCAACTGAGCAACTGAGTGTTAGCCACAATGGAAGAACCTGGCGAACTGGGAGCTCAACTACAGAGAGAAAAAAATTGTGTTTTGTTTTAATGCGATATCTATAAACCATTTAACATTAACTTACAGCAGTAGTGCGAGTACGAACCTCTAAGAACTTTATCGCTAGGTCACAGTTTACTTTTTGGAATTAATTCCGTATATATGTACATACATTATTGTAGTTTACATATCAAGCTATTCCACTCCTATCACCAAGAAAGCAATGCATAGAAACATCTGTTCAAGCAAATTATAGTTCTCAAGGGTTTATTGACATATTCAAATATTTGATTTGTTTTTTTTTTGACAGCTAAATAAACTTTTTCATATAGCACTTTATATTTAATTAATATAACTTTGCGCGTATGTAGACTACACCTGTCCTAAATTGTTTTTACACAATTAAGAATATGAATAGCAGAATCTTTCATTCCGTCAGTCTATAAATATAATTATGTTACATCAAAATCATAAAGTATATTGTTGCTTTGCGAACCAAAACAGTTTAAAGACGAAAAGTCATTTAAATTGATTGTATATTTTCCATACATTTTCCGCCGTGTAATTATTTATGTTTCTATGTGAATGATTTTCATGATTTAGACCAAAGTCCAATTGTGACCGGTTGCAGTTGCCAAGGCTTAATCGAAGCAGCCCATTGCAGGATATTAATTAATCTCCATCGGGCCGTTTAAGTCTTTTGGGAAAACATGCTAATTAGCAAAGAGAATGGCATTATAACATGCCAATAGACCTCCCCCCGAGGTCATTTGGGGTCAGGGTTGCCGGCGGTACAGTGCCTCATCGTCAGCGGCAACAGCATCACATGACAGAACATTTTCAGTATGGCCTGATCCGATGCTCTGCAGACGGTATCTGCCAGACACAGATATACATAATCTAAATGAATTGCCACTGGCACTTAGCATAACTCGTTTTTGAGCTGGTTGTTAAACAACTTGTATGGAAATTATACAAATGTATTTCCAAAAGTGAAATTGATGTCCAGCTGCGGGGGAATGCTTTTGTTTGGTTGGGTGGGAAATGATTATCATTTCAATTGTTTACCGAAATAAGTTGACACTCTGATTAGTTATTACAAACAAAGAACTGGATAATGCGAGTTGCTGATAAGGAACATCAACCCAATTTATTTTCATGTCTTGGTTATATAATATATATGGAAGATCTTTATTCATTTTTATTGCCTGCTTAATTTATATATCTGTGCTTCTGTGGAAGACAAAAGGATGAACTCGCAATGATTTCCCGTTGTCTTCTGACCCAGTTAAGAAGTGGCCTTCCGCAGTTCAATGCTTATCTGCCGGTGACCCATTAATGGGTTGAAATTAATTATCGCATTATGCCTCTGTTTCCTTGCTGGTGAACTTTTTTGGGGCTCACAGCTGTTTTCGTGCCAGTTTATTGAGCTTTTAGTTTTGACGTTTTATTGCCCAAGAACGCCTCAGTGGAAGTTTGAATTAAATCGTATGCCTATCTTATCGCTGTGAATAATTCTTGAACCTGAAAAGTGTTATTCTGATTAACGCGGCAAATTAATTTTGACGGTTAATTTTACGGGTGAAAGGCGGACAGTTATCCATATTTAAATATGCGTTTTAAAATGGAACCTTATATAACATGATGTCATCATGAACCGATGGTATTGTGTTTAATATTTTGTTCCAGTTTATTGCACACTTTACACAATAATGGGGAGGACAAACAGGTGAATTACTGGACCATTCGAGCATGCAATCTCCGTCACTAGATTCGCCAGTTCACGTGGCTGCAACATGCGACAAATTAATTAGTATGCCAAGCGCCTTGCGTGCCATGCTGGGCAACATTGGCCCCCGGCCAATCTGATCCAGTGCAATCCCTATTATTATGCATAATAACAGCCAATTTTCAGCTGACAAATGTGCATACGCTTTGCAGCTTGTTGGGCAGCAATTATGCATTATAGATTGCATTGGGCGCAGCACACCCAAACAATAATAAGCGATAACCGCAAATTTGGCTCTCGCATTACAAAACCCTTCGGCTCTCCCATTTGGGTGCCTTTTGTTGACACTCGGCACTCGTGTGCAACGAGTTTCGATAAATAGCAACAAACAAAAGCGACTGCATTTAGCACACCAACGATAAAAGCTGCTGGCCAAAGTCCACGCGGCGAATGAGTAACCGCGGCAGCCAGAGTTTGAATTAAGTATACGCCCCATTGGCAAAACCACAGATCGAGAAAAGAGCTGCTCGGGGCACAAGCATGACCACAACGACATGGTCAACTGCTTCAACCTCTCCCATGATGTAAATGTATATTACACAATAAGATTCGCAATTCATTTCGATTGGCATAAGATAAGAAATCTGTTTTTCTACCGCCATGCGCCACAATAATTAAGGCAGCCAGAGTAAGAGAAATGGGATTATCATGGTTATATGCGCCTTAAAAAATAAATTGCGTACTGAGAGTAATAACACCTATTTAAGTGGCTTGGATATTTCCAATTATAAAATTTAAGAAGCTTTTTTTTAGCGATTTAGTAAAAGCGTAGCCTAAAAATTTTAAACATTTAATTTTTTAAGATTTTTTCTTGTTCTAATACAAACTTAGATAGTGTAATCTTAAATTGGTAAGCACCGTAACTTTTTATTAATTTTTTTATTTTTTTAGCTTTTAATTATTTTTTAAAATATAATATTATATGTAATTATAGTTATTTTGTTTGATTCGACATTATTCAATTAAAAATGTATTATTATCACCATTATATTAGAATGAATATCACCTCAGAAGACATAGGCATTATAAATACCATTAAGGTATTGATTTCGAATTATCAGGGCCAAAAGATTTTATAATTTCCGTGTATACTGTACATATACTAGATATATATATAACATACATATAGTAGATACCGTTCCCATGTAATAGTGCACCTCTTCGGTTTGTATAACAATAGGCGAGCACTTGATTGAGTTTATCTGGGCATTAGCATTTTATAGGCACTATAAAGCAAACTAAGTGCTGTCTGTCAAAAGAGTTCGCAACCCCCTTCAATTGGATACGGCAAAATAAATAAATTCGCATAAGATAAAAGTCTCTGGTCCCTGGCACCTTTTGGCTCGTTTAATTAATTTAGCAAAAAAATTTCCATAAAATCGATTTGGTTGGCTTATCCATAATGACGATGCCTATCAGGGCCTGATATTTAGATAAGAAAACTTTCCTTGCCCTCCCAATTAGTTTGAGACACAAAAAGCACTTCCAGAGAATCGACCAGTCGGTCGCACTTAATGAAACAATGAACGATAAGGAACGATGTGCCAAATGAATTGAACTCTTCGTTGTCTCCAATTTATTGAAAGGGAGACAATTGTCCGACCACTGCCCGACCACTTCAGGCTAAAGTATTTGGCTCAATTTAACTATTGCAAGTGTCATTACTCTAGGGGCGGAGACAACCGCAAAAAAAACAGGCCTCGTCAATAGTATCGCCAAGGTGCCGTTTCAGTCGGGCTGAGATTTCCATAGCGCGCGGTTTGCATTTCTCCGGTCTTCTGTCGCCGGCATCAAGTGTAAGTTGAGTGGGTGCGCGATTGTCATTGTACATAACTGGCATTCTAACTTGTTGAGTTTCATAATAGATTTCACAAAGAACTTACAATGCAATGCTTTTGTAATTTCACATGACTGACAGTCAACCACCGAGTTGTCGGTTTTGCATATATTGAGAGTGCCAGGCGCCTGCAGCATATTGCGGCATTTTTTAAACTATAAATAGCAGCGAATACAATGTGATGAGAATGTTTTCCTTGTAGAGAACTTTGTTCTTTATACCGCGACCCTCAACTTGAACCTTTGCTGAGCTGCCACAACCTAAGGGCATTTTGAGCGGCGCACGTCACTGTCATTATGCGGCAGTATAAGATATCTGAAATTTGTTGCTTTACCATCTAATTGGCAGGGGAGCAATTGTTATAAATACCATTGTTTTGTAGATGTCAGAAAAATGTAGTTTGTTAAATTAAAGAGCGCACTGATGATGTGCTTGTGCTTAGAAATCAATTAACCCTTGAAATTTAGATATTCGTTCTGCCTTATTGGACATGCTTTTCTAAAACTTAAAGGCAAAGCTTTTCAACCATAAAGCTTTTTTTTAAGAAAAACTAGCACAAACTGTTTTTAAAAATAAATTCGCCTTTTTTGAACAAATTTGGTTTCCAGCTGAGTTTTTGTATATTCTAGCTAAATTTAAAATAGGGACAGCCTGATTTTACAAAAATTGTGTATGAGTTCGAAAGGAGTAATATTTCCTTTAAGTGTCACATCTTTTTCTTGTTTAATGTTTGCTATTAAAGGTTCAGTTTTAGCTAGCAATCTGCGTTTGTCCTTCGTGCTATAACTATTATTACACCAAGCCCACGTGTCGTATAAGTAATTTACTGCAGGGCAGCGACAAGTGAATGTTTATTTTTAGTCAGTTTGTTTTCCTTGAAGTGGTGAAAACAGAGAGCAGGAAACCGTGTGAGAGGCTGCACTTGACCGAATTGTTTTTAGACCAGTGACCACCATTGACATTGATGCATTGCAACCAAGTGGTCTAAGTGTTTATAGTGGCTAACCTATCATTAATAGTAAATTCTACGTTATGTACAATCTTGCAGTTAGTGCCGCCAGCAATATGTTGTTTGCGAATTAATTTGCCCTCAGCCAGCCCTTCGAAAGCAGCAGGAACAACAAACGAGCAGGAAGTTGGGAAATGTTTGCCAGCGGATCTGAACCAGCCCAAGAAACATATGCCTGCAATGGCAATCCTTCCGTCGAAGACGATTTCCCCGAAAGCAAAAACCTAAATAACAATAACCGCATCAGAAATAGAAGCCCCAGTTTTGGAGGAGGCGGAGAAGAAGGCGGTTCACCGCTGCATGAAATCGATGAACATTACGTCTGCGACATTGCCATGATGCGAATCGGCGGGGAGGAGGGCCTCCCGTTGACACACAATGCGCCAGCGGGTGAATCACCAACGCTGGCCAACGATGAAAGTACAAACAATGAGAATGAGAACGAGGTGGAGATCGATCGCCAGGCGGAGGAGCAGGCGGTCAGCGATCTGGTGCGATCGAGTAGTGCAGGTGCCCTCTTGGAGGCGTAAGTAAAATTATAAATGTCATAGCGATCCATGGCTTATCCTATTTAATCCCCTCCAGAGACAGCAAAAATGGAGGAAGCATGCGAGTGGTCTTTGGCATCCTGGTGCGACTGGTTCTTCCATTGGCCAATGGCGTGGCCAGAGGCATCAAGGGCATTCGCGATGTGCGTGTGCTGAGGGTTCTCCAGAATCTGGCCTCCAGTCGACAGGCCCTCACCAATCTGGTGGCCTTTGCCGCCAATACTATCTCGCTGAATCTGTCATCAGTTCAGGGTGAGTCTAAGTTCAGCGAACTAAATATACTTTCACTAGATATGTGGCCATTCATATTTAAATGATTATTTCTATATTTAGTTTATTAATTAGACAATTGCAGTCACTAAGCGATAATTATTTATATTCTAAACTTTAAAAGTATAAACATAAAATTATCTCAATTTCAATTTGCTTCTCAATCTAATTATTTATTTTTTCCTTTTTCTTTATTTCTTGCCCTTAAAATTTAAAATTTTTTTATGAAAATTGGAAAGTTTATTGGTAGTTCCAAATTTATTAAGATAAGTGTTTCTTATATATAATATATCTTCTACGCCTGATTTATATAATGTAAAAACCTTTACTTAAGATTTATATTAGAAAATTTATAATCGAATGCTTTTTTCCTCCGCAGTTTCTAATCGCATGGGGCCCCTACTCAAGCTCCTGAAGATGCGCAAATCGCAGGATGGCCTTGGCCTTGAGAGTCTTCCCGACACCCTCAGTGCTCCCTCCACGCCTTGCACACCCTGTCCGACCAGCAATCCGATGCAGGGTCCGCCCATTTACAGCGTTCGATCGGATGCGCCCAGCTGTTGCACCATTAATATCCTGGCGGAACCTCCGCCGGGTCAGCCAATCCGGGCAGATATTATCCTAATCCATGGTTTGCATGGATCATTGGTGAATACGTGGAAACAGGGACTCTGGCAGAACGATCGCCAGCCGGTGGAGTTTGAAAGACCACCGCGTCCGCCAGTGCGTCCGCCAAAGAGACCTCGCCACTCCCGGAGTGCTGCCATCCATCCGGCTCCCAGGGAGAAGAGGGCCAAGTTTGCTTCCCTCAACCGCTGTCTCGACACCCCGGATGATTCTCCAATGCGACAGAGGACACGGCTGCAGCCATCCGTGGCAATGCAGGCACAGGACTTCCAGTTCAATGCTTCCGATAACGATGAAAGCGAGTAAGTTTTGGCTATAATTGCAGCTAGATTAAGCTGGAATTTCTACAAATCTTTGTCCAATGGACAATTTAAGAAACATTTTAGGAGCATTAGTATATTTTTAAATATTTATAGTGTAATTAATTGATTCCCCTTCCCCCAGCTATGCTTACGTGTGCGGCGAGCCTGAAGACATCCAGATATGCGAGGGCATCGAGTACAGCTTCCCCACTTTCCGGCTAAGGATGCAGGACAACAACCAGCTCCTGCAGGCTGAATTGGAGTCTATGCTCCAGTCCAATGGTAATGAGGAAGAGGAGATCATCGGGAAGAATAGCCACCGGCGTGCCGGCTCACCAGCCACGCCCCGCAAATCCGCCCGCAAGACCAAGCCCTCGCCCAATGATCCAAACTACTCAAAGTGCTGGCCCGGCGATTGGCTGCCACTGGATTGTCCTGGGGTGCGGGTTATAGCCCTGAATTACACCACTGATCAGTATCTTTGGCGACCGCTGTGGAAGAGTAAGGAGCCCCGCTCCAGCTTGATCCAGCGTTCTCGGGAAATGGCCGAGTTGCTCATCCAACACCGTGTGGGCCATGGTCATCCCATCATCTACGTGGGCCACTCAAAGGGTGGCCTCTTTATCAAACAACTGATGGTGGATGCCTGGGAAAGCGGTCGTCCTGCGATGAGTCCGCTCTGGCGATCCGCCCGCGGCTGCTTCTTTTACTCGGTTCCGCATCGCGGTTCCCATTTGGCCAGCATCAAGGCGCCGCTGCTCTCGCGATCCGTTGAGCTGCTAGAGATTGAGAAAAGTAAGAATATAAAGATGAAATTTCCTACAAGTAATAACAATGTGATTACTTTCCCACAGACAACAAATACCTGCTAGACCTACATCGGAGATTCGCGGGACTATATCATCTGGGTCACCTAAAGATCGAGGTGTTTAGCTTTGTGGAAACCGCTTTAACGCTCATGTCAGTGCTGTACCTTCGCATTGTGGGTGTGGACTCTGCAGGTGAGTCTTTATCAGGGTTATGGCTTTGAGTACTATTATAGTTTGTCATTCATACCAAAAGTGGGAATGATTATCAAATCATTTTCTCAAATCGCTTTTTATTATCACTAAAAAGTATTGATTGTGTAATCCATATTCATTATCAAGAAAATAAGTAATGATAAATAAACTACCATATTACATGAAATGTTATGAAATTGTCATGGAAAGAAAGTATTGATAGGAAAAAAGGAATCCTTATGAAACACTAATTAATAATTTTTTGATTTCTTAATCACAGATCCTGGCTTTGGAGATGTCTGCGGCATTCGTCTCGATCATCGGGAGATCTGCAAGCCCCGTGGACGGGATTGTATTTTGTACAAAGAACTGGTGAAAATGATTGAAAAGGTGTGCTGAGGATTCGGTGAAACTGAAGTGCATTATATGTGAAATATATAGTGTATTAGGACCTGATCTATTTGAAACCGAATTGTGAATAGAATGGACAACTTAGAGGTGTCATGATAATTACGCGTACCTAAATGTAATGCCCCAGCATCCAACTAGGGCATGCTTAATGTTAAAGCGTCGCTTGTTGATTTAATAGTGCATAGCATAGATGTTGTATAAACTTTAGTTCGCCTATCCTAGCTCAAGTTAGTTATACACATTTTGTTGCCTCTAGTTTAAGCTTAAAACGAGCAGATAAGCATAATAAGACATGCCATCGGGCGTCAATGATATTTTGCAATTTTTGTGATCGATTGTGATCATTTTTGTAGCACTTTGTTGTGATGATCCCTTAAACACCCGTGAATACGTTATTGATATTGTACCATACATAAATTTAAAGTTCGCTAGTACTATGAATATCTTTACCTATAAACCGAAATCTTCACCGCTGTAAAATGTTACCAACGAAGACAAAATTGATGCATATATGAATTTCCTGAAATTTATTCGATCGATGTTTTATACCTATTTAATAAGAATTGATTTACTAAAACCAATAAAAAATGATATTTTAAGAACTGTTTAATGGGTAATACAGACCTGAAGTGTTTTCCTACGATTCAAGATTTATAATTTCAAATCAAACGCATTGATGTATGTTTTCATCATAACTTATTTTTAGTATATTTTTCCAATAGTTAAGGTTGCATTCATTTTTTTTTTGCCATATCTTCTGTATTCTCTAAACAAACACCGAGCTTTCTTACACTTTTCTCTTAGACTCTTTAGCTCTGCAAATTTTTCTTGTCCTTTTTTGGCCTTGTTGGTTGGTAGTTGCCAATTTACTTGCATCGAAATCTTTAACACGAATCGTTGGCAGCTTAGTTGCTTCAAATAATTAATTTCGCCTGCATGTACAATGCATATAAATTGCATAAAAAATACATTAGTTTTCGTTTGTTCAGTTATGAATAGTTCAAATATGCCGTTCTGATTGTAAAACGAGGAAACCAAGCCTAAATATGTTTACAAAATTTAGTTTCTTGCCACTCTACTAATGAGGTATACAAAATGTGGACTTAAATGCAAACTAAAATTACAAAAATAAAAATATACGCATATTAAATTGTCCTTTTTTATGCGTGACTTAGTAGAGAGTGTGCTAGGAGCAGCAGTTTCGCCAAATATAAGAACATAAGTTTGCTTACAATTTTAGTGGACTCTTAGTTATTGAGTGGTTTCCGTTGGCCAAAAACCGTTGCAAAAGTCGCAAAACGCGTTTCTATCTGCTGTCTTTCTAATATTTAATTTCTTTATCTCTTTATTGTTTTTGCGCTTAAATAATTTAAACATTTATCACATCCACTTACACGGCGATCACAATCGCAGCTATTTTTTTACTTATTTTCTCCATTTTTCCTCCGCGTTTTATACTCGCTTTTTGTTTTCTTTTTCCAAACACGTACATTTATATGGATTTCTTACGTCTAATTATATAACTTTAGTACATAAATTTTCTTTTGTGCCTTTTGCTGCATATAATAGTTTATTTTTCTTTTCTTAATTTTTGTAACGTTTAAAATTGATTTTCCTTCATTCTTCTTGTTTTTATTTTTAGGAATTTTGAGTTGTTCTTTTTCGGAATATTTTTTGTGTGTATCTAAATGCTTTTCGTAGGTTAAAGTTCATTTTGAGGATTTCATGCACTTTTAATTTTGTAAACGGTAAAATTATTCGGCTATACATGTTGATAATTTCTTTGCAAAGTCTGCGGCTTTGTTCACATTGGACACAAATCAGATTGTTTGTTTACTGATGATCTAAGTTGGGATGGAATTCGCAACTAACTGGGTTCGATGTGAGTCTACTTTGAACGTTGCTTCTGCTTGAGTGGAAAGGTACTATTGTTTATAGTTATTGGTTTGTTCTGCCTCAGGGATCTTAACGGTTACCTTTTGCTATTTAATTATTTGTTGGTATTGCACTTAGACTCTAAATACGTATACAGTTACAGTTACAGTTACAGTTTTCAAACACATTTCGTTCACATTGAATATATATGTTTTCGTATTTTTTTCAATAATCATTAAAATCGTGTCCTGTTTATGTGTGTATGCTGTGTATCTGTGACATGCATACGTCTGTGGAATGTATCATCTATAGTTGGGTTTTTGGGTAAGTGTGTATGGTTGTGTTTCTGAATCTTGTAAAGATTATCGCATCTCGTTTCACACTGAACAACAATTCACAAAATACATCGTCATACTCGAACCCGTTGACAAATACGCGTTTTGGGCTGCTCCTTTGAATTCCCCTAACTCCATTCCTATCAAAAATAATATCAGTGGAAAGAACCAGGACAAGGAGAGCTCTGTTACGTGAATTTTCTTTTGGCGTTGCTGCAGGTTCTGTCGAGGTACTGTTGGTGAATTTAATACATGGTTACAGTACGATTGCAATGCGATTGATTTTGTGGCTTATTATAGAGTTATGCAGTATCGTTTGTGTGCACAAATTGGAATTGTGTTGTATTATGTTTTTTGGGAAAGAGTGTGAGAGCGAGAGCACAAAAACAAGAATGCAAAATGAATATAATCAGGTACATTTGATATATCGGTTATGTAAACAAAACAAAATGCAGCAGTAAATATGCGGAAATTAAACATTAAACATTTCGCTTAAAAAGACAAATATAAAAAAAATAAAATTACAAATATTATTGAATAGATTACGTTTTAAATCGGAATCGATGTGAACACTTGTGACTATTGTGGTTGAGTGTGGGCTATTGCAGTGTTTGTGGTTTTTTGGCTTTTCTGTTTGCGTATTTTCTACTATGTGAGTGTAATTGAATTTTTTGCGGCAATTACGAAGCAATTGTTAAACGTAGTAATTATCAGCGACAAATATTGTAATGCATACTTGCGGGCTGCGCGGTCTATTGCTATGTATTTCTGTGTGTTTTGTGTTTGCATCGAAAGCAACAATAAATTATGTTCATATGTATGAGAAGTTACAAGTAAAAATTAGCCTCAATTAACGAAAAAACAAACAAATACTAAACAAATACAAAAGTATGGTATACATGTATAATCGCGACAAAACTATAGCATACAACTTAGCGTACATGTTTTGTACACCTGTTTGTAGATACATGTGTATAAATATCAGCTTAAATAATCATTTCTCCCATAGTTCCATAGTATCAGTTACTAAATATTTACATTTATAAAATGTACTCTTTATAAATGCCTAACATCACCATCTACCTAAATGCATAGTGATCTTTAATTTTCATTTTCATCCTTAATCCTTCATCTCCATATCAATATTCTTTTGGAATGTTTCGAGCTGTGAATGTAATTATCCTTTTGTTTTGTTTTGTTTGCTTCTATGTGGTAGCTTCATAAAAATACTGTTTGCTTCACCCATTGGGATCCACCTGGGCCCGTCGATGGACCACTGACGCCGCTGGCCAAGATTGCTTGACTGTTGTGGATTGGTTAACGGACACGGGTCCGTTGGCAGGAACTATGGATGCATTGTGGCTGAACGAGATCGGATTGCCATTGCCTCGCGGCTGACGCTCCTTGGCAGTTGCTGATTTCTGGCTGCAGTTGCTGCTGCTACTGCTATTGTTATTATTGGTGGTATATGCACCACCCGCTTTGGCCACATCGGCGGGCAGTTTGAAACCGTTGGTGAGACACACGGCCGCATATTCACGTTCCGATGTGGGTGTCAATGTGGCAGCTGCCTCCTCCTCGGCCAGCAGGCAAATTCCATCGTTGGAATTCGAGTGGCGCACAAAATTGGTGTGGAATTGCTTCTTGCTGCTGCCGTTGCTGGTGCTGCTGGCACTGCTGCTGCTTAGGCTTCCACTTCGCCGGCTGGAGCCACCTCCTCCCCCGCCGGCCACACCCAGTCCCGGCATTGTGGTCACCAAAGGCAGTGAGTTGGGTGGCACTATGACCTCCAGTTCAGAGCCACTGGACACAGGGCATTGTTTGGAGCTGCTCAAAGCCACTGCATTGGGTGGCGTATGCCGATAGGGTATATAGAACGCCTTTGCCTCCTGCAACATGGCATCCTGAACGGTCTTCCGCTCCGGTGAAGTTCCTCCACCTCCACACAGCGGTAACTGCGATAGGTTGTGCACCCCGGCTATGCCCAGATCTACTTGAGCTGTACCATCCTGATCAGAACGTCTCGCCACCTGGACACTCCCGTTGCCATTGGCCAGATGGACGACTGCTACGGCAGCCGAACTCGTCTGGTATTCCAACGTATGCTCCGGCAGCAATTCGATGTGGTAACGCGAACGCGGAATAAGTGTCTGCATTTCGTGGCAATCATGCTGCAATGTGCCGCCACTCAGACCTCCGGCACTATCTCCCGGCATTCCCGAGGCACTGCTCAGATTACCGAAATTTATATCCGTGGGTGTGGTCAGGTGGGTGGGTCCTTGGGCGCGGGCCTTGAAGTTGCGCTGCTGGAAAATTATAAACAGCCCGAAGAGAAATACACAGGCAAGGGACAGCAATGAGCCGATGGCAATCCCACTGTAAACCTCCGAGTGGGACGTTTCCCTGTCTTTCTCCAGCAATGTGTGGTTATTATTTATCATGTCGAAATACAAGGGAGCGCCTGCTCCAGTATCGCCCATCACTCGGATAGTCACATGAATTTTAGCCGTCTCTGAGACATTTGGAAACTTGAAAGGGAAATAAGATAATAAAGATTATGCTATAAGGTTTTTCTTTGCCTTTCAATACCTTAAAAGAACAGGAGGTGCACGCCTTAACAATATCCTCATGGGAGACATTGTCCAGAGACCACCGAATGTCGTAGTAAAGGACACGACCACCGTGATCAGCAGGAGGCTCCCACACCAGCTTCAGGCCATTCTGTTTAATCAGCCTCGACTTGCTGACGGTGCCGGGAGCTGCAATAAAGTATGGATAAAATCTGGATATAATAAATAAACTACGGACTTACGATCCTGTTGTGTCGTCACATCTATCTCTCCATAGAAAATGCGCGTCTCACAGTTGGAAAACTGCAGATTGTAACGACGATCTGCCTTGAGACCGGTGACGAACAACATCGAGTTGGAAATGTTGCGGCCCTTGCACTCTGTCTCTTGCCTGGGGGATGGCATTTGTTTTTGTATCACTGTGTGACACTCCCACACGCAGGTCTCGTTCAGACTGTCCAGAAATTTAAAAGCTAAAGCCCGAGATTCTATAGTGATCAGACGAAAGGGCTGATTCGCCTGCTCCGAAGTGCCGTTCTCAATCTGGAAAAAGAAAAATATTTAATCCGTTAAATAAGCTCCCTCCAGACAAGCGGTAGTCCTCTAGAGATTATATTAATAATCTCCTACAGTACAGTCTACTCACAATCTTCCACTGAACGTAGCGAAAGTCCTGACCCAAGAACTCATTCTCGTTGGTGATGATCAGAACTCTCATTTTGATGCGTGTAAAATGCTGCAGGAGCATTCCCGTAACACTAGCTTTTACCACCATGCTGAATATGTCCTCCTCCAAGTCCAGGGTCAAGTCGTCCGTTTCGTTGTCTAGCACTTCGTGTTCTGCATTTCTCAGCACTATGGCAGACGCTGATTGATTTAGAGGTTGAATTACGGTCAGATGGCGACGCACTTCGTCGGCTTTTTCCTCTACGGGGGTCAGGGTGCCCATCATGGGTCCATCTAGGAGCTGGGATGGATGTGGATGGGTGTGATTGATGGAGAACTGCAGTATGAAGTACTTTGTGTTGTGCAATTGGCCCTGCGACCACTTGACAAAGGTGTCATTGCCCACGGCAATTGGTCGGAGCATCACTGTAAGGCATGTTATTATTTTTAAATGTATTATTAAATGGGGATGCCACAAAAATCTCTTGAAGTATAGGGGTTTTTAAAATTATATTTTGAATCCAAATATTTTAAGGACCATTTTTTTACCATGGAAAATTAAAAACCTCTAAAGATTTCTAAAACATCCCTGCAATATTTAGCTATACTTACATCCTTGAGTGCAGCAGGTGACTGGAGTACTTCGCAACGAACTAAGGATCATTTGCTGGGGGACCAGCATTGTCCCAGTTCTTACCTCGGTTGTGGGAAATAAAACGCGGGTGATCAAAACAAATGGCTCATAGACCGGCAAATTGGTGGATATCACCACGTACGAGGTCTGATTCAGCTTCATGGGCGAGAGCGAAGTCCAGCTGTGCGGATTATTCCTGACAATATAAACCACAAACATCGACGTCAAGCTGCGACTATCAAATGTTATATTAATCGTATGGAAACTGTGCGGATAACAGCGGATGTTTTGCAATGGATTAATCTCCTCTCGTTGGCGATTGAAACGCAGTTCACCCGTGGCTGTATCCTCACCAGCCACATTTCTGGCCACACACTGATAGATGCCGTCCTCCATGGGATCAAACGAGAGGATGTGCAACTCGTTGCCGCTAATGTAGCGCGTATATGAGGTGTTCAAATGGATTCCATTGTGGTACCAGGTTATACTCGGCTCCGGATGTCCCTCTGCCCAGCAAGTTAATGTCCTCGAGAGACCAATATATACCACCTCGACGGGCAAGGTACTCAATATTCTCGGTGCTGTGGTCACAATCACTTGGAAATTTTGCCTTTCCAAGGGGGTTATGCAACTGTAGCGTCCCTCATGCCGGGAGACACTAGCATTTGTAATGGACAACGCCACGCTGTTGTTGCTCAGAAGGACCACCTTGTTGTTCGGTGACTGCAGATACCACATAATGGGCACAAAGTCCGCCACGGCATGGCATTGCAGCAGTACGGATCCGCCGGCGGGAACATAAATAGTGGCATTCTGGAACGCCGGAAGAAGCTGGGCTTCCGAAACGGACGTCTCCGAAATTCCCGCCTGGTTTTTAGGATAGTAGGTGGCATCCTGAGGCTCCACTCGCAATTGCCAAATGAACTGACGGTGCGTCTTGCTGGCAAACGCGTTCTGAGCCACGCACCTGCAACGGGGATACAAGAGATAATGGTCAGTGGTTTCAAGCGATAATTGACATGGACAATGCCCACAATTACAGCCACCACTCGGCCGCCACTAAGTGTTAATTAATGCATTGTTTAAGGGCACGCCGGCGGTGCGAGCGTGCGAGCGGTGCGTGAATGTGTGCCATGGGAGTGGGTCTTCTGATGGAGTGCCGCAAAAGGTGTTGATTTTGCCACAGCGGCGAAGGTGGAGCGCTGCGGCAGCAGCCAAATGGAAAATTGCCGTCGGTCGTAATTTAGATTTAAACTGAGCATATCGTAGTAAGAGCTAACTAACGGGGGTAACTATACATATATCAAGTTAAATGAGCGAGTGATTGAAAACGGCAATCTGCCACTTTTATTGTTATTGTAACAGAATTTTAAGGGACTTTTAATATTTTATTTATTATTTGGTATTTTTATAAACAATCTGCACAATCACGATATTGCAACAAGATTAAAATTAAGAAGGAAAAGTCCGTTTTAGTAGTATTTTATCAAATAAGAATTTAAAGTGCAAAATCATTTTGGCATTTTGAAAGCCATATTTTGAGTAATGTTGAAATAGAGCCCAATTTGTTGTATTTCTGTTTTTGCTATTGCAATTTATTGAAGTTAAATTCCCACATTTCGCCAAAAACCTTAATTCTGTACTCACTTGTATTTGCCAGCCTGTTCCAGGCGCAAATGCCGCAATATCAAAGTACCATTGGATAGAATAAGAGCGCTGCAATAAAAGCAAATAGGTTAATTTTTAAAAAACAAATTAATTAAAAATAGCTCCAAGCGTTGGTCAACCCATCCAGCTGGCAAGCTCCACAAGTATATGGAATAATATACAAGTCTACTCCTGCTGCTCGATGCTTCAACACTGATCTTTACTCGCCTGTTATCATTGGTCAGGGAATCGTTGCCAAAATACCAGCTAAATCGGGCAGCTGGAACGCTCAGGAAGGGACAGCTCAGCACGAGCGGCTTGTTTTCCACCGCACTAATGTTGGCCGTCTGCTGTTGACCCGGAAATAGACGCTTGAGTACTGGAAATAAAAATAATTTAAATAAAATGATGAAAGCATAATAATGTAAGTTGACAATAAAAACAATCATAAACACAGTATTATTTCGTTTAGGGTTATTAAATTATAAAACCAATATCTTTCAATACTCCATACTTTAGAAAGTGGCAATAAATTAAAATAATAATTTAAGGTAAATAGTTTAAACGGTTCTAACAAACAACAATTGTTTTAATTTTTCCAAGCAAGGCCAGCAAACACTTATTATGTTATGCAGAAAATTCTAAAACAATAAAAAAGGAAGTGCTGTAATGTTTTTTTTTACATCTTAATAATTTAAAAAATGTATATTTATTAAATATTGTTTTGGTGTTAAATCGGTATTTATTGTAATATCAGTTTACAACTTACCTGGATACTCGACAGTGATTTTGTCGGAGATTACCGCCGACTCATCCCACTCGATCTTGCAGTGGTATTCGCCACTGGCCCTCTCATTCGTGGGCAGTCGTAGTGTTCCATTTTCGTAGATGAAGAAGTCATTTTTGCGAATGGAAATTTGCTCGACGGCCACGTTATTCCGATACCAGCTGCAGTAGATGGGCTTATTTTCTGTGTCGCGGAAATGTTAGTACCCCTTCTCAATGAATTCAAGTCGCGATGATAACTCACCCTGATCGTAGTTGTAGGGCGTTAGGATGGGTACGCATGGCAAATAGTACGATGTGTGGGGCTTGCTGATAGTCAGTCTTGTGATGGCGTACTTCTGGATCTGCAGATACGGCAGGAGTGCGGTTGAGTTCTTCGGTTGGGTGACGGCAGCAACTGCAAAAGAGCAAAAACAATTGATTAAGAATCTGTGCTTGGCGCGACGCGGCTAAATTATTGGTTCCAATAATCCTCCGCCCATTGGCCAGACAATAGACAAAAGGCGAACACAAAGCGGACAAAAAAACCCGGTCAAAAAAAAATGAAAATGTTATTTATATTCTAGCTTAATCTATTGGCTGTTATAAATTTCACGCTTTTCACTTAACACCGCCCCCAGTCCGCCCGCCCTCCCACAACTGCATCGAGGTTTTTACTGCATTGGTCATAAATACCCGAAGCACACAGAAAAAATCTGAGAAATAGAAACTGCCAAACAACGGAGCCGTGCTGGGCTCAATGTTTGCTTGTGCACTTTAAAAAATTACCATTCCAATTGTATTTTAGATACTACAAATTCAATCAGTGACATCTTATTTATGCAAAAATATATTATAATAATTTAATAAAAATTTAAAAATTGTTAAAACTTCGGCATTTGAAAGAAATTAATTGTAATTAAAATGTTTTAAATCAATGTTAAGATAATATTTGGTTATGTTCATTATATTATCATTCTTTATAATTATATTCACTAAGTGGTATGTTTGCTTAAAAAACTATTTCTTCTTTTACAGACTTTCAGTTGATTTTATTTCTTTTAGTGTGCATTTGGGTAATGGCTCTGACTCTGATTCTGGGTAAGTCCCTGGCTCCAGTTGTCGGTCTGGGTCTGGGTCCGAGCTCGAGTCCGAGTCTCCGCTACGTGCTGCAGGCGTGTCCAGGCAGACTTGGTGTGTTAATTAATTTTTCTGCTGCTGTTCTGCTGTTGACGCGACCATGGAGTCGTCGTCTTTTTTGGCCTGCACTCGTAACTGCAGCGGTCCGAGGGTGCGTATACGTGATATTAAGCAGTTGAAACAATTACATGGCCCGCTGGCAGCAGTGGAGATTTGCATAGGACTTTGTCGAAAGTCGTCCGTCAGGCATCACATTATCTTTAAGGTGTACGAGCAGTTCCAGGGAAATGGGAATGATAATGGCCAATGCCAAGTTGAGTACTACAAATGCGGCAGAGTAGCCCCCTAACAAATGTCTAAACATTAGTCAAATGCGTTGAAATTTATGCTAAAAATGCAATCAACTTGCGTTCCGCTCGACGGACGTCCTCAGGCCCCCCCCAAAAACCCCCTTGCATTCAGCCTGCCACCCAAGTGGCCAAGTGCACTCGGTTGTTGCCAAATGCTGAATGTGCTGACTGCTCGTTAGTCAGTCACAAATTGTGGCAAGTCGCTCGGGTTCTTTTTGCTGCGCTCGGAAACTGAATATTTGTTTCGGTTTTGATAAATGGACTCCTATAAATTAGATAATTGCTGAACAAGCTGCGAGGGATGTATCTTAAAGCGATAGCTCTAGACTCTGGAATTCGGCCCGCTCGTTCTCTCATGTTGCATGTTTGTACGCAATGTGTTGCAATTTTTATTGCAGTAATTACACGCAATGCCCCGGCGGCAATTTGACGCATGGAAATGCCTTCGACGGCCACGTCAGCACTGGAGCTACTGCATCCCGCTAAGTGCGGCACATTTACAAACACACAGGGTTGCAGGAACATCGGATACAGGGGCAACCACAGCCACACTGAGAGAAATCATGGTAAGTCGATTAAACCACTTATTTCTTTTAAACTTCCGCGAAATAAACCCATTTCCCCCTTTAGCTTTTGGTTTGATTTTTAATTCACTCTTTATATAAATATAGAATAGAGTATAAATAAAGAATATTCTGAACACTTAATACATTTTGGTGGCAAACTTTGTGTTTAAAATAAAAATGGCTAATATATTACCAGTGCACTCGCAGTAGCAGTTGCATGTGCAACCAGGGCGTAATTGTTATAGCGTAATTGTTTCAATGGCGGGGCGTTTAATTGCGCTTTGGCAACTACTCCGCCGCTAACGACGCTCGGTTTTCGAGAGTCAAAGTTCAGCGATTTTTTGTCATCCACCGTGCACACCTTGCCATGTTGCCATTTGTCATCGCCTGTTGGAGGGTTGTATGGTTCGTGGGTTGAATGGTTGGTGGGACATGTCAGCGGCAGCATTAGCCTTAAACCTCCTGCTCGTGTGCTCCGGAGTCGTTAGCGGAATCGTTAAACTTGCAGATTAATTGCTTTGCCGCTCAACGAGTCAATGCTCGCATAGAACCACCCATTTAATGCGCTTGACATTCACTTCCAATTGAAGCTATTCTGCAGCTTTCTAAACCACTTGGTGGGGCTATCAATTGTGTTAGATCGCTTCGGGAAACCATCATCGCTGACCATAGCTCAACGCAGCTGCAACAAGATCGGCAATCTCGGTGATTGAACTGCCATGACATCCAACTTTCATCTAGACAACACGTTATCTGCTTCCCCTTCCCTTTCAACGATGTAACCCTATATAATTTCAGCTCATTTGTATTAAAATCTGTCGTAGTCAAAGTAATGCATAAGTCTTCCCAGTCAACTCAGCGCAGAGGAATGCTTCCCAGAATCGTGCTTGAATGCTGTTTGACAAGTATATATGCGTATAGTATATACTCCCATCTGCACTTACTAAGTTGTAGCAAGTTGCAAGTCAATAGTGTGGGGGGCAGATTACAGCGGTGATGGGTTCTTGGGGAGAAGGCAGGGAACTGGGCGCTGCTGCACAAATTTGCATAGTTGAACGCACGTCGCCGCACTATGGGAGTTCGAACCATCTAACTCAAAAGATTATATTTTTAACTCTAAGTAGACAATTTTTTTATACTATCTCCAAGATGATTTCATTATTTAATATTTTAAATTATATAAAAAAAATTTTCATTAGATAAAAGTTTCATATATTTTATGGTGGTTCCTTGGGTGTACTGAAAAGTTGAGTAACATCTTTTCCAATATTGCTGACATTATATTTTCTTGCAGTATCATTTTCCACTGGTTGCCATTAAACTAGTTTATTATCTACATCGCCCATTCGTAGCTTAATTTAAACGAATATTCTGAAAAGGCTTCGTTCCATAAAGCATAACTAATAAGATTTACTTCTATTGTTTATTATTGTGACCTGCAATTTGCATCACTTTACAAAACTCCTATTACCTGATCTCCAAACAAAGGTACCAATTCCACGGTGAGGTGCTTGTTTTAGTTCTGATAACAAAGAGGGAATTTTATAACAGACTTCCTTAGTCTAAATATTTATTTGTTTTGGGATGGTTTAAAATAAATTGCAAAAATGAACACAGGTAAAGTTTATTGAAGAGTAATTGAAAGAATAATCTGTTTAGCCTCCCACTGTGCGCCTCCGTTGCAATGAATTCCGGGCAGCAACTGTTGCTGCCGCTGCTGAGCTGCAGTTGATGATGAATGCAACTGCAATTGCTGCTGCAGCAGCGGCACATAAATTGCCGGCTGCTGCGCCGAGCTTATCAAAACGGCAACATCTTGTGCATAGATAAGCCGGCCGGGCCTCGGCCTCCAACTAACGGGTCTGGGCCCCCATGGAATTTCGCAAATTCAAATTGCCTGGCATCCTTTAATGCCGCTGCTGGCACAGCTGCAGCGTTGGCACACTTTTACCGCTCCAAATCCAAAAGGCAGCGGCCACATTTTATGCAAAATGCAGCGCGCACGAGATAATTTATCGCCTAATGACGTGCTGTTCTAAGGTTGCCCGCGTTGTTGTAAAATGCAATAATAAAATGCGCCTGCAGCAGGAAGATGCAAAGTATGGAAAAAAGAAAAAAGATTGGACTAGAAAAACGAAAATTAAAAATGAAATTTAAATGCCGCACGAGCAAGCAGCATCAGCTGAGAGGCAGTGGAACGGGTTGCCAACTATCTGTGCACAAGCAGATCCCTACCCCCACTTTAATGGCCTACACTCGAAAAAAGGTCAATCAAATGACGGATATGAAGCAACTTCTTATTAGCTAATACCATTTACAAAAAAAACCTTTCACACAGATTTTTAAGAAATATTTATATTATTAGTTGCAAGTATATAATAGAGTAAGTAACCTTCACCATAATAAATAAAAAACAAGAAAGGAAAGCTAACTTCGGGCGGAGCCGAAGTTGATATACCCTTGCAGAATATTATGTACATTATATTCTCCAAAATTATTCATATGATGCATTCTTAATACTCATAAAAAATCCCAACTTCCTAACTTTACAAACACCAAAGTTATGGCATTTTCGATCAATCAGTTATATGGCGGCTATAGGATATAGCCGGCCGATCCTTATGACATTTGGTAGGTCGGATTGATTGGCCAAATATAAAACCTAGAAAATCCCAGCTTCCTAACTCTACAAACACCAAAGTTATGGCATTTCCGATCAATCGTTATATGGCGCTTGATATAGTCGTCCGATCCCTATGAAATTTGGTGGTCGATTAATTGGTCAATATATAACCCATGAAATCCCACTTCCTAACTTAACAAACACCAAGTTATGGCATTTCCGATCAATCAGTTATATGGCAGTTAGGATATAGTGCCATCCGCCGTTCCGACTTTATACTGCGTGCAAAGGGGTTGCAAGTTTCATTCATATCTTTAAACTGAGGACTAGTTCCGTAGAAACAGACGACGACAGACGACGGACAGACGCGACACAGACGCATGCTATATCAACTAGGTGATCCTGATCAAAATATATACTTTATGGTCGATGTCTCCTTCTGCTGCACACTTTTACCAAATTATAATACCCCTCGTTAATAAAGGAATAGAATTTGATAGAGGAAAAGAACACAAGTATGCCATTATTTTAAATCTTTTGAAACGATGAATATTATTATTCACCCCTCCTTTTATTTCCCTTCAATATTAGTTAATTTTAGAGATTTTTGGTAAATTCTTTTCTGTGTCTAGAGAGCATTCTTTGGGCTCCGGTCTGCTGTCGCTTTGGGGGCGCTCAACGAGAATTTATGAATGTGCAAATGCATACGACAATTTCGCGCATAAATGTAAGCTCCTGC